TCGATTCAAGGAAATTGCCCAGCGTTTTCCGATTGCGTAATGATGCTTACAAATTGATTAAATTGATTAAATATCTTTATGACCATCAGTAAAAAAAATGTCAAATGAAAAATGCTGTAAAAGTTGTTTTTAACGTTGAAATCAATTCGCTATTTTTTTTTATATTTTACAGATTCATAACACCGATCACCAGGGCCCCTGAACGTCGTTGTTCGTCGTCTATGGAATAGACGTTGTTAGTTTACTGATGCGATGTCACAGTTCTGACCAATTTTAAACTTGGTCAACACCTTTTGGCAATTTTTGGAATTGGAATTCGTGTTTTGGAGAATATCTTTCGTAAAAAAAATCACGTGAGAAATAAAAAAAATATGTATCTTAGATATTAATTTCGTGTCTTATTGTTTGTGAATCCGATAACGTTATCTAGTTTAGTAATTCCCACAGAGATTTAACGTGAAATCTGTCTAATCCGGCACACGAGGATATAAACCAAAAAAATAAATCGGCCAATCTAACCTGTCTAATCAGACACCAATAGGAACGCAAAGACGTTGTCAGATTTACCTGTCTGATCCGACACACGGTAAAATACACAGTGGTCAGATAAACTTGTCTTGTATATGGCACCCTGTATGTTGTATAGGATACCCTGTGTGTTGTATATGACACCCTGTATGTTGTAAATGACACCCTGTATGTTGTACATGACACCCTGTATGTTGTATATGACACCCTGTATGATGTACATGACACCCTGTATGTTGTATATGACACCCTGTATGTTGTATAAGACATCCTGTATGTTGTATATGAAACCCTGTATGTTGTATATGACACCCTGTATTCGTATAAGACACCCTGTATGTTGTATATGACACCCGGTATGATGTACATGACACCCTGTATGTAGTATATGACACCCTGTATGTTGTATAGGAAACCCTGTATGTTGTATATGACACCCTGCATGTTGTACAGGACTCCCTGTATGTTGTATATGACACCCTGTTTGTTGTATATGACACCCTGTATGATGTATATGACACCCTGTATGTTGTATATTACACCCTGTATGTTGTACAGGACACCCTGTGTGTTGTATATGACACCCTGTATGATGTATATGACACCCTGTATGTTGTATAAGACATCCTGTATGTTGTATATGAAACCCTGTATGTTGTATATGTCACCCTGTATGTTGTACAGGACACCCTGTTTGTTGTATATGACACCCTGTATGTTGTATACAACATACAGGGTGTCATATACATTATACAGGGTGTCATATACAACATACAGGTGTCCTATACAACATACAGGGTGTCATATACTACATACAGGGTGTCATGTACATCATACAGGGTGTCATATACAACGTATAGTGTGTCATATACAACGTATAGGGTGTCATATAGAACGTATAGGGTGTCATATACAACATACAGAGCGTCATATACAACAGACAGGGTGTCATATACAACATACAGCGTGTCATATACAACGTATAGGGTGTCATATACAACGGATAAGACAAGTTAATCAGACTAATTTTCCAACATACAGGGTGTCCTATACAACATGCAGGGTGTCCTATACAACAGACAGGGTGTCATATACAACATACAGCGTGTCATATACAACGTATAGGGTGTCATATACAACGGATAAGACAAGTTAATCAGACTAATTTTCCAACATACAGGGTGTCCTATACAACATGCAGGGTGTCCTATACAACAGACAGGGTGTCATATGCAACATACAGGGTGTCATGTACAACATACAGGGTGTCATTTACAACATACAGGGTGTCATATACAACAAACAGGGTGTCCTGTACAACAAACATGGTGTCATAAACAACATACATGGTGTCATAAACAACATAGAGGGTGTCATATACAACATACAGGGTGGCATGTACAACATACAGGGTGTCATAAACAACATACAGGGTGTCCTGTACAACATACAGGGAGTCATATACAACATACCGGGTGTCCTATCCAACATACAGGGTGTCCTATACAACATGCAGGGTGTCCTATACAACAGACAGGGTGTCATATGCAACATACAGGGTGTCATGTACAACATACAGCATACAGGGTGTCATATACGACATACAGGGCGTCATATACAACATACAGGGTGTCATAGACAACGTATAGGGTGTCATATACAACGTATAGGGGGTCATATACAACGTATAGGGTGTCATATAGAACGTATAGGGTGTCATATACAACATACAGGATGTCCTATACAACAGACAGGATTTCCTGTACAACATACAGGGTGTCATATCCAACATACAGGATGTCCTATACAACAGACAGGATGTCCTGTCTGTTGTATAGGACATCCTGTATGTTGTATATGACACCCTGTATTCGTATAAGACACCCTGTATGTTGTATATGACACCCGGTATGATGTACATGACACCCTGTATGTTGTATATGACATCCTGTCTGTTGTATATGACACCCTGTATGTTGTACAGGAAATCCTGTCTGTTGTATAGGACATCCTGTATGTTGTATATGACACCCTATACGTTGTATATGACACCCTGTATGTTGGAAAATTAGTCTGATTAACTTGTCTTATCCGTTGTATATGACACCCTATACGTTGTATATGACCCCCTATACGCTGTATATGACACCCTGTATGTTGTATAAGACATCCTGTATGTTGTATATGAAACCCTGTATGTTGTATATGTCACCCTGTATGTTGTATATGACACCCTATATGTTGTATATGACACCCTGTACGTTGTATATGACACCCTGTATGTTGTAAGTGACACCCTGTATGTTGTACATGACACCCTGTATGTTGCATATGACACCCTGTCTGTTGTATAGGACATCCTGTCTGTTGTATATGACACCCTGTATGTTGTTTATGGCACCATGTATGTTGTTTATGACACCCTGTTTGTTGTACACGACACCCTGTATGATGTACATGACACCCTGTAGGTTGTATATGACACCCTGTATGTTGTAAATGACACCCTGTATGTTGTATATGACACCCTGCATGTTGTATATGACACCCTGTATGTTTTATAAGACATCCTGTATGTTGTATATGACACCCTGTACTCGTATATGACACCCTGTATGTTGTATATGCCACCCTGTATGCTGTATATGACACCCTGTATGTTGTATAGGAAACCCTGTATGTTGTATATGACACCCTCTATGTTGTTTATGACACCATGTATGTTGTTTATGACACCATGTTTGTTGTACAGGACACCCTGTTTGTTGTATATGACACCCTGTATGTTGATTATGACACCCTGTATGTTGTACATGACACCCTGTGTGTTGTATATGACACCCTGTGTGTTGTACAGGACACCCTGTGTGTTGTATATGACACCCTGTATGATGTAAATGAAACACTGTATGTTGTATATGACACCCTGTATTCGTATATGACACCCTGTATGCTGTATATGACACCCTGTATGTTGTACAGGACATCCTGTCTGTTGTATAGGACATCCTGTATGTTGTATATGACACCCTGTATGTTGTATAGGACACCCTGTATGTTGTATATGACACCCTGTGTGTTGTATATGACACCCTGTGTGTTGTACAGGACACCCTGTGTGTTGTATATGACACCCTGTATGTTGTATATGGCACCCTGTATGTTGTATATGACAACCTGTATGTTGTATATGACACCCTGTATGTTGGAAAATTAGTCTGATTAACTTGTCTTATCCGACAACCTTTACGTGGGAACGAAATACATTGTTAAGATTAACCTGTCTTATCAGACACCATTAGGAACAAAACACTAGTCAGATAAACCTGTCTTATCCGACACCATGTACGTTGAAATGAAACACGTTGATATGATTAACCTGTCTTATCCGACACATTGTACGTTGAAATGAAACACGTTGATATGATTAACCTGTCTTATCCGACACCTTGTACGTTAAAATGAAACACGTTGATATGATTAATCTGTCTTATCCGACACCCTGTACGTTGGAATGAAAATCATTGTTAAGATAAACCTATCTGACCAGACACCCTTTGGAATACAACATATTGGTTAGATTAACCTGTCTAATTTGACACAATGTTGAACATAAAATATCGGCCAGATTCTCGTTCGACACCTTGTGGGATACAACATATTGGTCATATTAACCTAAGACAAATCAGACACCTATGTGGGATACACACACGCTAGTCAATTAAAACCTGTGTTATCCGACACCTTTTGGGACACAACCCATTGCTTGTATCCGGTATTCCGTTAACACCTGTCTATTCCGACAATCACTGGGAAGCAAGATATTAAGGCCAGACAAAAAAGATATGTGTTTCCTGTAACATCATGTTGGAAAAATTGAGGGTAGGTGGGCTGGTTACAAATTTTATTGTATCAAATAGTTTTATATGGTTGATATAGAAGAGTGATCTTGACTTTAACACTGCTTTATTGAAAATTGCCCTCAAAAGTTGAGGGTAGGCACAAAAAAATAGGGTAGGTAGGATTAACGGAAACACGAAATATTTTTTGTTTGGCCTTATCTGTTTCGATTTTATGAACATTGCCAGGTTTTTTTTTAAATAAGAAGATGTACATTGTATATTTTAACAAGTGTGCTGCAAATCTTTGCTCTAAATGTCAAGCCAAAATGCGAGAAAAACAGATACCAATATTTAGATATATACTATATCCATATATATATATATGTATTTATCAACATTTTAAAATAATTTATTCTAATATCAAATTAATAAAAATTATCGACGTTTTTTTCAGTTTTGCTTGCCATCGAACCATACGCTTTTTATCTAAAAATAACGTAAGCATTCCCTTCGATGACATTTCACCAAATTACAGTATTCGATAATTAAACAATTCATTGCCAGAAGCCACAGCGAAATACCCCATAGGCGCCTCTTCACTTCCTAGTTAGTTGATCGACAACCAGGGGTCGCTGTTTGTCTGTCATCCTGTTCCGAAATAATTCTGCGGCTATGTTGTAAGCAAAGTAAACATGATGATTAAGTGTGTTCTACGTATTTAACCAAACAAGATGTCATCGAAACACCTCCCTAAAGTCATTTCCCACAGAGGAAGAACAACAACAGAAGTTGAGCGTGAAAATTTTGAGAAAACACAAGTAAGAAAAAGTTTTTTTGGGCAGCGGAAGTGGTTTTTACTTTTTGACAACATAAGATTTCGTCACTGTACGTCGGCAATTTCACCTGAAGGCGACCTAAATATTATGTGTCATGCATAGTTTTTAGTAAGGATTGGTCAATGCATGAAAGCTGATACATAAAAGATAGAAACCAGAAACGCAAATCAATACAATCGTAGTGTATTTCGTAATATTGAATATGATCTATCGATAATCGCAGCACTGAACAATATTTTTGTCCCTTTTGACAGCTGTCAGTGTCAAACTATTCTTGTTGTAGTTTTGGACAATCGAAACGTTAAACAGTACAGAAAATCGTTGTATCAGTTATGTTTTTGTAGCCTGATTTCCAAAATCATAGGAGCTATTGGTGGCATGGGTTATATAATTTCTAATGGTCACTCCCATAAATTCTTCAGGAATGACTGAAATTTCTTTGTATTCACCCATTAACAAAAATGCATCTTGGTGTGACTGGGATTTGAATCTGGGAGCTTTGATTTTAGATAGATGCTATAACTAATTGAGCTATTTGGTCACTGGTGGTACTCCTCTCTGTCCTGTTATAACATGCCTCCCTCATTTCGAAGCCTTTGCCTTAATTAGAAAAACACGTTGTACAACTTGGGTTTGGGTATCCCTCTGCCTTTCCAAGAGACGCTTACTTCTTGAAAGGCACGTACTTAAAACGAGTGTTGGTCACAAGCTAGCACCACAATACCATTGAAAGAAGAAAAAAGCACTACAAGGCTAGACTGATAATTTGGCACAATTTGATAAACACGTACAAAACATTGTGTTGATATATATGTACTGTCACTCTGTCTGCTGTTTAAACATCATATTCCTACATGTATTGTTTGCACACTTATAATCTGTGATATTCCATGAAAATGTAGAACTATAATTGCCATTCAAAATCTTAATGAAGGTGCACGTGCCACCCTTGACCTGAAATAGATTTTTTTTACTGGGTTTGGTTTAAATGGCTTAGCTGTGAGGCACCTTATTTTTAGTGAGAGGTAAAATATACTACATCTATAGTACTCTAAAATCAATAGCTTGATCATAAATTGAAAAAGTGTCATGCCTGTTGACTTTTGTCTTAATTGTTTATAGGGTTAAATATGTAAGCCTCTTTGAAAACATAATAGTTTTACATTTTTAGTGCTACTATGGGCTTTTCTCACCTGGGATATATCTGAACCATGATGAGATTTAGGTGGAATTTACCAATTATTTGGTCTCAGGAGACTTATCTGGGTATTTTTTGGAAAATTATTCGATGATACAGATAAAAAATAAAGAAAACAAATAAAACTAATGAAACATTGCAGAGAACTAAGGAAGGGAATCAAATGAGAAAAAATAACTTTCACTTCAATTTTTACAAACCTGGGGAATTTCCAAAATACCAAGAAATTTCTGGAAACATTTCACTTTCATTTTAAAGATCGTATATGTCACTTAAGCTTCAAATACCCCACTGACATATAAAACAACTGGGTTTTTTTCTTTATTTTTTTCAGACTGTTGCTATAAACAAAGCTATCAACAACCAGGAAGCACCTGTCAAAGAAAAACATGTAAGAAGTATCCTTTTTGTAGAAAAAAGTATGATGTACATTGTATACTATAAAGTGGATGTAAGTCACATTCATGATTTTAAATAAGGGCAATGGTCGCTAAGTGGTTAACCCTTTCACCACTGTAGACCATAATCGACTCATCCTGATATCAATGAACGGTAGAGTCTACTCAAGTTACATAGGGTTGAAGTTAAAGGGTTAAGGCGTCTGACCGTCTATGATCACTCACCACTGGGTCGCAGGTTTGAGACCTACATGTACATGGGTCAGTCACCAGGTATACTGGCCACTGGTCATTTTTTTTTTACCAATTCACAAGTACTTCAGTTTTCCTCCACCACCCTATAAAGACCTGGCACGTCCTTAAATGACCATAGCTGTTAATATTGTTTTTGTTTTTTTTTAAAATCCAATCATGATTTAAAACGGGAAATATATACAGTATATGTATGTGCAATTTGTACACAATTCTGGTGGCGATAAATTAAACCATATAAAATTAAAGCAAAATTTTAAGGGACACTTATATACAGGTTTACAAGGCTTGTGACTGCAGACCTATGATTTATCAGGGTTCCTTTTGAAGTCTGTTTGAAGGACCCATTGAAGCATTCTCAAATGGGAAAAAAAGTGTGATTTTTCCAAATTTGCCCCATGAATATTCTAAATTGTGAAATTAGAAAAAAAAAGAGTTAGAAAAGTATGATTATGAATAAATTCCTCACAATTGATTAAGGTCGCAAAATGCAAAATAATTGCAGAAAGGACAAAATAATCATGTTGTCATAAGGGTAGCTCAAGTTTCTTCTGGCCCTGACACCAGACTTAGACATTTTGACATATATAGTTGTCTGGTGTGGGGGCCATATAGCGCTTCTATATATACATAGTTGAATTCTCCGACACCGTTAGGTGTTTGAAAGTTTGAGGTGCTGACAACAAAAATCTACTATGACACAACACATATCTACCAAAAGCTGCTACATTCCGCCAGTAGAATCCTCGGATTTCAATCATTCAAAATTTCCTGTCTGTAGGTCATGGGGGATAGACTTCAATAAAACTTAAACTGACAAATTTCTTGTATTCAGAGTTGTTATAATGATCATCCGAATTTCCCAAAGTGGTTCTTATGTCAAAGATTTTTATCTCTGGGTCTGCTTCCAATAACCCCCGCCCCCTAATAAATCCCTGTTCTGGTACATCTAAATCATACGTGCATTGTAAAATTATGGGTAGGTATAAAATATCAATCAAAAGTTTTGATTTGGAAAATGAATTAACATTTTATGGGCAATATTTCGGAACTTTTGTCGGAAGTAATAGAGGCATGTCTAGGTGTGGACCAGTATACGTATATACGGAGTGGACAGTATTTTGGTAGGAGAGGAAGACAAATCGTGCACAGTCCGTAGAAAGAATGTTTTCATTATCCGAAACTGAAATCTGGGTAGAGTATGTAATAGATAGTGGAAACATTTTTTTTTTACTTGGCCTTAAGAATCATATGTACTCTTGATCTTCAAACTGAGGAAAAACCGTTCAGAATTTATTGTGTATTTTTAGCGTTAAACCGGATTTTGTGATGACTGTTATGTTACTGTCTCGGACGATGAGGAAATGCTTGTTTTATTTGCACATGTGTATTATCTAGTCGGATGTTGAACTGACTGTATGTGCAGTATGATACGAGAAAATGGGCTATATTTGTACCGTATTTAACAAAACTAGCACATCGTCATTTATAAATGAAAGCCATTGAAAATGCGCTAAATTTTGTAACACATTGTATATATAGAGGATCGACTTATGAGTGTTGAGTGTGAGTAACGCTTGTTGCGGAAAATCTCTTTATCCTGTGTGTACATTTCAAAAACTATAGCCTGTAGATTTCATTCGTGAATATACTTGACTTTGCGAATGACTGGAAGATGATATTTCAATATTGATTGCGGTTAATTATCACTGAAAGTAATATCTGCGGAAAATTTAGATAAGCTTAACTTTGTTTCTCCAAGAATTGACCTGAAAATTTAATAAATAATCCCTCGCAAAAGAAAAAGATATTTACAGTATTCTGTTTGTGTAACCATCAACGTCGTTTGTTAATTAATTTTAAATTATTTAAGTCCTACGGCAGTTGCAGTAAAATTTTAACATTGCAAATTCTTGTTTACAATATCATTTATCAGTGTCCACCTCCCCTCCCCATTATTGTCCGAATGTTCCAAAAAAATCTAAATTGTACTGTATATTCAGTTTATATATAAAAAACCTGAGATAATCTTTTTGAAACTTTTTATGATGCAGATAATGTGTCTTTATTAGGAAATTTGCCGAATTTCTGCCCCTATATATTATAAGTACATGTGATTCTGTGAGGTCAACAAGCTACAATTGTAAATTTTCTAAGTCATTATAACAATTATATCCTACATACATGCATGCATATGTAAAAATCTAGGTCAATACAAGCTTTCATATTGTACTCGACCTGACACTACAGGAAATGCCAGAGCTTCTGTTATTTTGTTGCACTAGACATGAACCCGATGCTACAGCTATAAACTATATATATATATGTAGATTAATTACTCGGCATGTTTTGATTACTATAGAAGTTAGTATCATGTCCCTTTCATCCTGGCAATAAAGTAAAGTCTCTCATGACCTCAGAATATCTCGGATCATAATTTGCTTGGAATAAATTTAGAATCAAATATGAATATACTGGTCCTTCCTAGCCTGGTCACAGGGCAAATGAAAATTGACACATGTGTCTGTCATATTCCCGGACCTGTTGAGTTTATTTATTTAATTAATTAAAAATTCTTTTGTAAAAGAACTTTGAGCACTGCCTTCTCAGAGATATTTTTCTCCAACTGTTCATTGGTTTATGTGATTTTTCAAAAAACACATATAAACTTATATTATGCATTCAATGTGACGGAAATAAACAAGTTTTAACAAGGGGCTCCCATGAGTTTTTTTTTATTTTTATTAATATTTTAATTTTTGAGATAAACATTTTTGAAAATTACTGGTAAATGTATGTGTTACGATGCTGTTAATTGTTTGATTGTGTGGGCCCACAATGCCAGTAGTTCAAATGTCACCAAGTGCTCTAGAATACACAGCTGCATGGGGCTCAAATTAATTATTTATCCTTATTAGTGTGTATACTTGTGTACAGATTAAAGACAATCCCTAACATTTCAAAAAATAAAGTCGAAAGTCTAAGGAGGAAACGACCACCCAGAAACAAAGCTCTGAATCAGGGCTATTTTCTATACATTTATTAAATAAATCATAGATCTTTTGATATTCAGAATTGATATAAAGTTGACTTTTCCCAATCCACTGAGATTTTGTGTTTTTCTTCACAATTCGATGGAAAAAAATACAAAATGTGACTTTAAACCTTAATGTTCCAAAAACATATAGCAAAGGGGGCATGTAAAAAGTAAATAACTGATTGTCTTTTCTGTCAGCAGCCCATCTGTCCTTTCATCCATCTGGCCTTTCGTACTGTGTCTTGAAGAATACTTTTTTTTAGTTCCACGAGTGCGTTTAGGCTTAGCTCAATAACTTAAACTCATTCACCCCTGAAATTTCATAATGAACTATTCCAACCTTTGATTTGGAAGAGTTCAAATGTAAGTTCAGGGGTGAATGAGTTAGTACTAGTAATTATTTTATTAAACTGTATACAAAGGTCAAGTACCAGAAAACTTTGAAAGCGTTCGTATTTCAGGGGACCATTTCCAAGGTCAAGACCAATGTCACTGTTACTATTGATAGAAATTTGTCAAGTTATTCCCAGGGCTTGACATTACTTCAGCAACACTATTTCTTAACTCATTCACCCCTACATATTCAAACTGGACTTGCCCCTGAGTCTTTGATTTGGTAAGGTTCAAATGTGACTTTAGGGGTGAATCAGGGTTAAAACATTTTGATCAGACTTTATACTAATTATAAAATCAAATGAATTAATATTTTAGGAGCTAAAGTTCAAAAGATCAAGGTCACCACATATTAGTTAGAGAAAGTTATGGAACAATGATAGTTATTTTGGATTGGAGCAGGGGCATTCATTTTCCTATATTATTTTAGTAGACACTATGTGAGTGACTGTATAGTTAAGTATTTTTTCATGATTTTTGCTTTGAACAAATTTTACTTCCTGGTAACAGGGTTTTAAATCAATAAGATATCAGGATAAAAGGAAAAGCATGCATGTACAATCTACTTAGTACAAACCAGTTTTGAGGCCATGCAAGGTAAATACAAAATTTGACATGCTTCCCCTAGGCAATGTAATTAAGTATAACATTAGCATGGGTATATTATTCAGGCAAGTGGATTTCTGAAGTCTAATTGCCCTATGGGCAATTGATGTTGGGCAAGGGAAAGTTTTTAGCATTAACCATGAAAATATTGGTTTGGTCAGTATAATATTTTGCCAAATCCTTAGATCTAGAGACTCAATTATGAAGTTCTACACCCTCGAAGGTACATACTTTGAGAATACCTTTACATCCCTGATAAGACAGCTATTGGGATTTTTCTATTTGGCTAGACCCGATATCCTTGAAAAATAAATTATTTTATTTCATGACTTAATTAAATCGAAAATTTAAAGTACAATGGAAAATATAGGATGTAGCAATATAATTTTTCAAAATCTACTTGCAGGCTTGTTAATCTCTCAATATGAAATTGATCATCCCTGGTACTACTATATAGGCCCAATTTAACCCAAGGCTCCATTCTGGCTAAAATATACAAAAAATTAAGGATGGGTCTGATATAAAATCTGTCCTCATTTTTCACACCTGTCAAATTTCCCGATTTTAACGGAGGACAACATTTCTCGGAAAGTTGGGGCAAAAGCACTCGTGTCTTGATATGGATGTTTATAACAATCTTGTTCGTGTATAGTATAACTCCGCACTAGAGTTGACCCGGCCTTGATGCTCAGCATGACTCAAGTGTCCTTGCTTACACATGCTGTGTAATCTCTCAGTAAGCAGGAATTATAAAAAATAAGTAACATTTCTCTTCACTATGCTGTATACATCCTATCCATGTGTATGAATCAGATCACATACATATATAGGTATATATATATATAGCTGTATGTGTTTTTACAGGATCCAGGATCTTCAGTTATAAGAATAATTTTATGTTTTTTCCCCACATCAAATTAGCTAGAGGTAAAACGCATTTACTTAATAACAAACAGGGCCTGAAGTTTTTCAAAGGCTGATTAATTACCAAATACTTAAAAGGCCAGCCCTAAAAAAATAATTTGTTTTGTTTTCTGTTACTACATGTCTGAAAATGTTAGGGTAGGGAGCTTGAGGTAGGTTGTTTTTATCAGGTTTATACAGGAGAGTGATTTTGACTTTGACAGTAACTTCCAAGAATAATGCCTAAAATCTTTACCTGGGGAAGGAGGTGAGTGGGTGATTGGGTGGGGGTACGGTCCCAGGCTTTTCACTTACTTGCATTTGAACAGACCAAATGGCATTTTTAACAGGCCAACTTTTGTAAAATAACATGAGAATTGTTAGAAAAAGGTAATTTGAACATGATAGGCCAAAATGAGGACTGAACCGGTCATTTTGGCTGCTGCCTGATCCTAATGAAAACCCTGGGTACCGGTATATGTTAGACAAAAACAAATTATTGTTGGTATAGGGAAACATTTGGCCTAACACCATCTTATATTGTTACTTAATATCTGCAAGAATGACATCATCTTGCATTATGATATGTACAGTGATACATATAACTGATATTTTAATATTACAAGTGGAAACAACATCATGCATAGCCCCACATATATATATTATCAGAAGGAAATCATATTTGCTAATGACAACTCCATCTTATACCGTCAAATAAAATAACATCTTATTTTGATGAAATAATATATCATCATCATATTTGACCAATTACAACTTATTCTATTCATATATATATTATTACGAGAAATTATACCATCTTATATTCATATTATAAGGTCAAATCCTTAGGACCTTTTGTTATCTAAGTAATTAAGATCTATACTAGAGGACCCCATTGGAAATAAGCTGCCACCCAGCTTTCATGGGATATCCTAGGTTAAAGCTTAGTCAAACAGATACATTGTATTTCTGGTGCTCTAAAATTTGTGATATTAACTTTGATGTGATAATCTAATACTGTGATAAATCTGTGATTATTATGCAATTGAAATCTGTGATCATATGTGATATTTGTACCTGTATCTTGCTTTTACCGAATAAATATTATTATTTTTAACATAAACAAGCATATTTTTGGCCTTAGGGGTCGTGTATATTTATAAATGTGTGTAAATTATATATTTTTTTAAGGAAATAAATGAACATTTCATCAATATTTTTGTATGCAACCAGGAAAACCCTGTTACAGTAAAGGCATTGTACACAGCAGATGTTTTACTCCATATAGGAATATACATGTATACATACATACAAAGTGATTGTAACAGCTGTCATTGTGAATATAGGTATAAACTTGCAGAACTTCTCTTTATAGTTTTGATTGCATCATGGTTTCTTAGGGTCAGATCGAGGGCTGCAATATACATGTATTGTATATTTTCGGTTAAATTTTGTCCCTTTTTTTCGAAAAAAAAAAATCATGTCAGGAACAAAAATGCAATTTTCATAGTGTCATAGCTTTAACAGACTTCATGTTTTAACCAAGTTTTTTTTAGGAGAGGGCCTAGTAAGTTGTAAGAACTTATACCCAATCCCTTTGATTATTCCGAGTGTCAATAAAATATGTTTGAATCAGAGTGAAAATCCAATTTTTCACATACATACATTTATGTTCCCAAACATTAATATTGCTTCCCGTACAAGTTTGTGTTTTGACCTTTTGGGGTGAAAAATAAGGTCACTGTTACTATAAATAGAATATTTACTGTCATCATTTTTCAGTCTTCATTTTCTCATGAAACTTCAAACTGTGTGTAGTTACAAACATCACCTCTTGTATATAATGAGTAAATGTTCATACATTTAAAGGTCAAAAGCAAGGTCACCCAGACTAAAATAATATTTTGCTGACATTGATTTTCATACTTTATTCATAACCTTTAAATACATTTTTATAAACATCTTCTCTTTCACAAATTGATTATTTAGTCTTTCTTTAAAGATCACCGTTATGTTATGTCAATGACGTCAAATATTTTTTTGACGTCATTGACTCTTGGCTGGTCTAGATGTCTATGTACTGTGTGCGCTAATCATTTCTGATTGCTTCCGATTGCAAGGTTATTACCAGGTAGTATCATCTGCTATATCCTTTTTTTTTTATTTTTTATTTTTTTTTTAAATTTCAAAATAGCCCACATATTTTTTTTCACATCAGTTTATTGTTAAGCTAATTATGTTCCCGTGCCCAGGTAAGTCTCTAGTTTAATATTATATACCTATAGCTACAAAATGATAATTACAGGTACGAAAATCATACTTAACAATGATTTATGGGTTTAACGACGTATTGATCATTCTCAGTCATTGTTCACAGTGAAGCTGCTACTACCTTCATTTCTACGGAACAAAAACTACAAACAGGTGTTGGACAATAACAATGATGTTTGTTTCAAGTCAGAATGTTTTGGAATGAGCACCTTTAGAAGCAGACACTAAATATTGATTTTAGCACCTTGGCAATGAAAGATCAATTTTGCTTAGTCAGTATGTATCGTATATAGTACACTGTATATCAGTGATGCTACATGGTAGGGAATGATATTAATTAACCCTTTCACCACTGTAGACCAAAATGGACTCATCCAGATCAATGCATGGTAGAGTCTTCTAAAGTTACATAGGGGTGATCAAAGGGTTAATTATTGTACTAACATATGTAGCTCAGTAACCTAAGCTTACCTTAAGGTAAAGGGTATTACCAACCAAGTCAAAGTTTATTGTCACATTTGCACTAAAAAAAATACTTTTCATATATCTTCAAAAGAAATATTCGATAAAAATCCCATGTTGCCATGCATTTTAAAAGATCACATAGTCAATCAAAATTGGAATGTATACGTATGAAAGAAGAAATAAGAAGGAAAACAGAAAAACTGCAGGGATCGAACTCATGACCTTTACATTGCAAAGCCTACACTTTACCAGTGTTACCACTTAGGAATTATAAATTCACAGCATCAAAATGAGTCTCCAAATTCCGGCCCGATCAAGCCTATAAATAATTTGACAGGGGAACTAGGTTTCTCTCAGCCAGAAAAACTCGTCGTTATCTCAATAGAACTTAGAAGAGGGAATATTCCCGAGTCAAAAACTGATGCAGTAGTACCCTTGGCCTTTACCTTTACAATACATTTAAATCATTAAACGGACTCGCAGTAAGTACAGATTACTGTTGATCAACATTGATGCATTTTGTTTTTTATTATGAATAACATGGTTATGACAGTCCATAAACTTTACAGTCCTAAGCTTTATCGTAAATTCTTTTTTACTGATTTCATGCTAGTCTACTTACGAAAGATGTTCATAAACATGGAATGGCGAAATGTCGTACTTTTGCGTTTTATTTGTATCAAAGAATTAACAAGTGACAAAATGAAATTTGGATACTACGTTGGATTGACGCTATTGAAAGCAATATTTTACTTCGAGGTATCCAAGTTTTTCGACTTTTCAGGGTTCAAATTATCAGAGTTTTATTTACTAACATAAAGAACAGATTTGTCATACCAATGTTCATTCGTAGAATGGAATTTTTGGTAATCACATGTGGAGGCTTTCAATTCTGCATGCTAACTGTGCAGAAACACCATATTTGACTACTTCTGCTTAGCAATATCTTGAACAACTTCGCGTTTCAGGTTACTGCTTTAAAGGTAAAGGTCACTTTTGCTATTTTTGGAAAAAAACTTTGTCATCGCCCTAGCGACTTTATTTCCTCTTACATACATGTCACAATGTGTGAATGCACGGAGATTTGTATCACTTGTGGTGCCTTGTTTGTTGTTGTATCACAATGAAATATTATTATTATTTTTTGTCACTTTTTTCACAGTTTTAAGAATTGGCAACAGAATTGTCCGAAAGCCTTGTTAACAAATCAAATTGCCGGAATATTTGTGTCTTATGGTGTCTAAATATGTAACAAAACCTTTGTCTTCCTGCCTCCTCTTGTACAATTGCACAGTGAAATTTTGGCATTATTGTTTCCAGTTTTTTAGCGATTCTCTGAAGTAGAGGATCTGGCTTCCGTTAAGCCTTCCGAAATCAATGTATTTTAAATTTTGATACCTTAAATACCCTGTATGTTGATATGTCAAATTCGAAGCACTGTTCAAACTATGAAATCTATTCCGATATATATATATGATGACAAAAGATTTCCTTAACGAAGATCAGCGACAGTGCTGGGAACATTCCAGGACAATGGGGCGGGGCTGTTCTGGAGTGTGGCAACCAAGCTTCCTGTCCAGGGAAATCCCATCGTGTGCTGGAAATTCCTCCATGTTCTCCACAAGATATTCCGGGAGGGCCATAAACATGTGAGCATATTTTTTAATAATCTGTTTTCATTAAATATTTTTTCTCATTAAAATTCTGACTCATTGCATGAACTTAAGTACCTTGTAATACTACTTTATAGAAATAAGGTATGAAGGTTATCAATTTCCCTCACCATGCTGTTGCTGGTGGGGCCGTGTGGTGGCCAAGTGGTTAAGGCATCTGACATTCTGCTGCCACTATACCCCACCACCACTGGGTCACAGGTTCGAGATCTTCATGGGGCAGTCGCCAGGCACTGACTCTAGGTCGGTTGTTTTTCTCCAGGAACTCAAGCTTTCCTCCACTTGGCACGTCCTTACCGTAAATGACCATAGCTGTTAACTCATTCACCCCTGAAGACACATTTAAACTCTTCCAATTCAAAGGATGGAATAGTTCATTAAGAAATTTCAGGGGTGAATGAGTTAATAGGACGCAAAACACAAACAACCAACCAAACTTTTGCTGGTTTAAAGTGCTATGGTAAAAGATACTTCTATGATTGAAGCATGTCTACTAGAGCTTCATTGTAGATACCAGCATCACAGTGAAAAAATACCGCATTTATCCTGCAATAAGCCCAGTGGGCTGTAACGTAAACTTTGATTTAGCTCAGGGGTTCCAGGGATTTATGAACATGACCGGACATTGATATAACTTTTTTGTGCATTTCTATTCAAAAGACTGCAATAGATATGGATGGGCTTATTACCAGGCATGGATAAATATGGTAATGCTCTTCTTTTCTAATAATTTACAATTTTAGAAACTTCCCTATATTGAAATAATAATAATCAGTTATCAGAAATTACCTCTGTTCAGAGACAAATATCATGTGCTTGGAGTTGTTTCTTCTTATGTGCACGCGTACGGTAGTCTAGTGGTAGGATGCCGGGCTCGTAACCGAAGGGTTAAGGGTCTGAGTCAAGCCATGGCACTGTGTTGTGTCCTTGAGCAAGATACTTTACTCCGCTTGTTCCAGTCTACTCAGCTGTAAATGAGTACGTGGTTGGGCATGCAGTGCTAGAATTGTTGAATGCTAGCCGTGAGCGCCAAAATGGCAGAACCGGCTGTATGCTCCCCAGAAAGTTGAGAAAGATATTGGCTGGTTGCATTAATTAAGGCCCTATAACCACGGATAATAATTTGTGAACCTCTTTGAGACGACCTACGAACTAATTTGTGATAAAGCGGTATATAAGAACCTCAAATTATTATTATTGTTATTATGTATATTCAACAAATTAAAAGTTTCTGATTGATATATATACTAGATCTAGAAATAATATATACAATACTTATGTCAGAATGTCAATAACGTGACAATCAATGGCATTCATATAGTGCTGTGAATGCAATGGAATCTTGTTAGAATCAGACATGGTCATTAAAATATGTATGTAGATTTTTAGTTATGATATCTTTCGACTTTTTATTTTCACTATTATGAACAGCAATATTTATTGATGGAATTAAATGCTTCTTTTTACAGAGCATGCACGATTCATGGAGATATTCATCCCATTTAACAGATTTAGGAAAATTATGGGTAAGTTTGGACACAACTTTTGAATAATTAAGCAATTATAATTTGATTTGACATGATTTTAAGAAACTATTTTATCAAATATTTATTATTTTGCCAATAGAACCCTTGTACAGTTGAAATTCTGAAACTTGTTTTTCCATCACATAGATAATTCTAATTGAACTTGTTCACCCCTGAAATTTCAGAATGAAATATTTCAACCTTTGAACCTCATTCACCCCTGAGTTCACTCAACCCTTAAACCTCATTCATCCCTGAGTTCTTTCACTCCTTCAACCTCATTCACCCCTGAGTTCATTCACCCGTGCAACCTCATTCGCCCCTGAGTTAACTCACCCGTTCAACCTCATTCACCCCTGAGTTCACTCACCCGTTCAACCTCATTCAACCCTGGGTTTATTCACCCCTTCAACCTCATTTACCCCTGGGTTCATTCACCCCTTCAACCTCATTCACCCCCCCCCTTCAACCTCATTTACCCCTGAGTTCAGTCACCCCTTCAACCTCATTTACCCCTGAGTTCAGTCACCCCTTCAACCTCATTCACCCCTGAGTTAACTCACCCCTTCAACCTCATTAACCCTGAGTTAAAATGTGTCCTCAGTGGTGAATGACTTCAATAAAAAAAATAAAAAAATATATAAATGAAACTTGAGTTTGTCCTGTTCTTGTATTAGAAATTTAGACAAAATTCATGTACAGTATTAAAAATGTATATATTTAGTTCTGTAGATAGATTATTTTTGTGCACACAAAAATTCAACAGTGACCGATATTTTTTTTTGAAAAAAATAGTTGACAGGTTCATTCGACACATGAATTGTTGACACTTTGCACAAATAAGTGGATTTCAGATTTTTGCATGTTGTGATTTTGTGTGAAAATATAAAATCAACTGAAATATGTAGGTACTATAATGTAGAGTGTATTTATAAAATTTGATTTGCTTAGAAATGTCAAGAGGCGTTCAATCTTTGAAATTCACAAATTTTAATTGTTGATCAAATATTTATTATGAGACAGAAGTACTAATACGAGTATACATGTAGCTACAGATTGTCAAATATGTTTTGTTGACAAAATGGAGAATAATCCTGTTTTCTTAAAAAAAATATTTTTTTTATAATTAAGACAACAATATTACAGTGAAGATAAACAAAACATTCAGTTTTTCAGTGAAACTTCTTTTAAAAATTGTTAATTTTCATTTTTTTCTTTTTCAGAGCCACTTGCGCGAAGGTTATGGCCGCCTGATTGGAGGCTATTGTGCGCTGTTAGTACAGAAACTAAAATTCCACAAAAAGGTAAGGTGATGGATGTCAAATTGTACATGGCAGGGGAAACCTGTTTAATCTGATATCCTGTGGAAAACATGTTGATCAAAATAACCTGTCTAATCTGACACCCTGTGGGACCCAATACATTGGTCAGATTAACCTGTCTAATCTGACACCCATTATGGCAACATATTGGTCAGATTAGCCTGTCTTATCTGACACACTGTAGGTCACAACACATTGGTCAGATAAACCTGTCTTATCTGACACCCTAAGAGGGAGGGGGGGGGGGGATTTGGCTTGCAAAAAAAAAGAAAAGGAAAGGATAATAAACCAAAAATATTTTGACATGTTCCAGAGCATCTTAACCCTTCACCCCTATGTAACTTTCAGTAGACTCTACCATGCATTGATCTGGATAAGTCCATTATGGTCTACACTGGTGAAAGGGTTAAATTGAATATTTGCCTTTTGGGTGACTTATTTCTTTTAGAAACCAGCCTCTATCCTCTGGACATAGTTAATGCTTGTGACCTTTTGTCTGTTGCGATCCTTCATATGCTTATAGATTCAAAAATTGTCATAACTATTTGACAGCTCAAATTTTTGATTTCAAATAAATATGTCTGACTTTTGTGTGATCCTAATGCAGAACATTTCAATCCCTGTCTGTGTACCTTTTTCACTGCACTTAATGTGTTGGGACCTATAAAGGCAAACAAATTAATGGGACAACATTTTACAATAACATGTACTTGCCACACTTTTTGATTTTCTGTGGGGGGAGATTCTGCATTCTCAAGATTAAAACATGAATAAAATATGTATATATATATATATACCATCTAGAGACAAAATGCCCCTTTCAAATGACTTATTTTGAATTGTTCTTTCAGATGAAATCATTATATCATAGAATATAGGAATAGTTTAGCAAATTCTCTAGTTGAAAATTTAAAATTCAAGGGTCCAAAATCATAAAAATATAAAAATCGGGAGTCTCCCTCCTAAATGGGGAGAGTTAAGGTTAGCAAATATGCAATAATTTTTGTTTTCTTTTTTAATTTTTATGCAAAAATTGTTTATCATTTGAGAATATTATTTTTCAGTACTTTTTTGAATAAGATATCAATATAAGAGAAAATATGAATGAAATAAAGAAAAATTAAATTAACTTTTGGATGTTTCTTGTTTGGTTCGTATAGAACAACCATATACCAGGAAGTCTGACAATGTCCGACGAACAATTCTCCAAAATCTGTGGATCCGACGTAAACAATTAGTAAGTATTCCACGTGTATAGTCGTCGTCTGAAATTCATAGAGCCATGAATTCAGCTATGTTTTGCACCCTCAATGCCATATTTGTACATATGAGATTCATTGCACCATAAATTCTGTAATGACTGTATGTGAAACTCATAGCATCATGAACTCCATATATAGTCTTCAGAGGTTCATAGCACTGTGAATTGCTGAGTTTATATTCCTAGCGTCATGACTTCCTGTTAAATTTTGCAGGGATATTGAATAAAATTAAAATATAAAGAGGATATCTAACAGTGTCTTCAGTAATAACAAATATATTTCAAGAGTGTGGCTAATATTTTGATATCTTTCTCGAGTGCGCAGCACAAGTGAAACAGAAAGATATCATCATATTAGCCACACTAGTAAAATATAATTGGCATTACTGAAGATACTGTTAGGCACATTCTGATTATTACACTTTTTTTACGAAAGCCTACCCCAGAACGCAACACATCAAGCTGACAATACGTGATCTGGATACTTTCACCACTAGTTTGTCTATAAAGTTATACTTATGACCCTATTTCTCTTATACTTCAATCGCTTAGCCCAACTTTTTACTTGGAGATGCTGACCCCGAGTTTCATTTGACACGAGTTCTCCCCGAACAAAGAGTTTATCTTTTATGAAAACGAAAGTTAACTGGAATTAAACATTGTGTTTCTGCCAGAGAATAATTCCCCATGATAAGTAACAGATGATTATAATTCTGGCCATTAGTAGAGTGGTCCGATGGCTGGGACGGGTTTTCTTGATGCCTTCGGATCGTTAAGCTAACCAGGCTTTCACCTGATGGGCCACTTGTAATTTTTCCCCATGGTAGTTTGTAATCAGTATTTTGATTGGTCGAATCAGCAAAAGTGATATTTTTCACTTGTGAATAAATATCACTTTTATAGAATGAATAATTTCAACATTTCACTGGTAAAAAAGTAATAATATGTTTTATGCAAATTTTAGTTGATCATGAACAGAATTTGATGTTCGTTCGCCAACAATTCTCATTGAAAATTTACTCCCAATCCAATCAAAAATGAGCTTCATTCAATGAAATTGCAATTTTATCGATATATGGAAAATACCAATATCTGCTTTTATTTTTAAAAAAAATCATTTCATATATATATACATTTTCATTGCTATTTTTGTTTTGTTTTCTGTTAGATTAATTAATAAAATCTGCGACATTCAGCGATGTTTGTGTGAAGTTTGAGGACTAGACTAAAATCATTCAGGCACATGCTTGCTACATAAACACACTTTACCTCATTAATTTGTTACACAGGATCAACTTAAAAAAAACCCCACAATTTCTTATATATATATTAAACACACTGAAGCTGGTATGCAGCGTCACCCTTGTCTCTATAATCCAATTCCGTCTTTTCGTATTGCAGAGTTATCTTCTCTTGTGAGCAGGTACTGATTGTTACGTCATTTGTTTGTGAGAGTAACGTCATCAATTTTTACACAAACAAATGACGTAACAATCAATACCTGCTCACAAGAGAAGATAACTCTGCAATACGAAAAGACGGAATAGATACAGACTGTATCTAAAATTTATAATGTTACATGATTTTGTTTTGCACCAAATTCTTGTTGTAATAGCAATTTAATTAGAATACATATTTAATAAAATATTGAAAAATATGCAGGTGGAAGGGTAGATTTATAGAATAACATGCTCATAAGAAGAAATACGGTACAGAGCTCTTTATGCTGATTAACACATTGGGGAATTTGTAATAAAAAAACTAAAAAAAAGGTGAGAGGGGTATTAATTGGCCAAGGAAGTGACTTGATAAGTATGGTATAGTGGATTTTGGATTTAGTATGTGAATCTGGTATCACAATCATCCTCAAATTTTAAGACAGTAGAAAAATCAATGTCATGGATGGAAAGATATTATTTTGAGACTGTAGAAAAATCAATTTTATGGATGGAAAGACAATATTTTGAGACAGTAGAAAAATCAATTTCATAGATGGAAAGACATTATTTTGAGACAGTAGAAAAATCCGTTTCATGGATGGAAAGACACAAATTTTTGAGACCGTAGAAAAATCAATTTTATGCATGGAAAGAATTTATTTTGAGACAGTAGAAAAATCAATTTGAGACAGTAGAAAAATCAATTTCATGGATGGAAAGACATTATTTTGAGACAGTCGAAAAAGCAATTTTATGGATGGAAAGACATTATTTTGAAAATTGTGCAAATTAATGTAGATAAAACATAATAAGATGTGTACATTTGTACACACACTTTCAATTTTAAACTTTTGGATGAAATACAATGTGTAGAAAATGTTTTCTGATGAAAATTTTGTATAAGATGGGCGTTTTTTTTTTTGTTTTTTTTTTAAGATTACTAATTTGCATAGTAATATGTTGAATTCGTGATTTTGTGATAATCAGGTTGGTAGTGTTACTTGACTAGTAATCCTCATTGCCATGTTTAACTCACAGATTTCCATGTATCGCAAAAGTAACACTATTGCAAATATAACCCTTTTTTTCCCGTAATATAATTAACCATACTTTATTTTAATATTGCTTACAACAAACTTTTCTCTAAATCTGATAAAAAAAATTCATCAAGTGAATTTTCCTGAACATTCTTGTCAAGGCTGTTGTCAATATATGCAGGTATATCAAAATGTCTTAAAATTTCGGGAGGATTGTGAATCAGCTGATTTTATGAACACTAACCATGTCATGTGAATGCCTTTTTCTATGAATTGCACAGCGATGCCATGTATAGGCAAGTGTGAATTATCTCCCTTTGTTTTGCTAACACGCTCACTGGTGCATGTTTTACTGCGTACTGCTAGCCCTTTTAAAAACTAACGACAATGTTACTATACCATGGTCTTGTTCTATGTAGACTCAAACTCTGTATGCGTGGAAGGAACTAAGGGACATCACCCATTGGAATGAAGCATACAGGAGACCACGTTTTAATTAAATTTAAAATGAAATTGAAATTTATACTACATTTTAGACACATTGTGAAAACGTTTTAAGAATTAACAGAGGAAATTAAATATTTTATAGATATTAAAAAAAATTGTCATTCGCCACAAATTCGTCATCATTCTTAACGTGAAGACCAAGAAGAAAAGGGGGAGGTAACTCTAATAAAACTCACCTAAAAGTTCATGTATGTACATCATTTAAGTATTGAAAGAATCAATCTTTACTATTGAGATATATATCTTTTTTGATTCCAAAATTTAGAAATTTAGAACAAGACCTGTTGGAGTTTGTTTTAACAAGTTTCATCAGCTAATTATACAGAATATCTTTTATGAGAAATTTTGTATCATCATTTTTTTCTCTCAAAACTAAGTAAACTGAAAATGGAATATGGTATTAAAATTAATCATACTGAGAAGTTATGAAAAAAGAATCTCTTATCTCTGCACATATTAAAAAAATAGAATTTGAAAAATTTGACTTACCATATTTGAGCCAAAAAGTGCCACAACCCTTGTAAGCGCCCCCTGTTCTTTTTTCTAGTGTAAGCATCCCATCCTTTCACCATAATTTAATGATTTACTTCAAAAAAGTGTCTATCATAGCTGAATTTTAATTCAGGAATGTTTTGAAATAATTGTAATTTCCCAACATGTGTAGCAGCTAGGGCTTTTATTAGGACAGATATGGTAATTTATCGTTTTGGCTTATGAAGCTTGATAGAACAGGATTATAAGGTGTGGAATTACGGTAATTTGTGTCACATCTATAGATAAAGCTGGATATTAAATGGAAGAGTGTGAATATGCCATGAGTTTTAACTTAATATATATATATATATACATACAAATGTATGCAGATTGCTAGTTATCCAAAGATCTTATACGGAACATCTAAAATCATTTAAATTATATATACAGACCATGTATACAAAATTTGCTAGTTATTCTTTAAACTGAAGAATAATATTTCCCCAAATAATCAAATTGTATATACAGAACTGCTCTTTATCCAAAATATTTATTAATTTAAACAAAACATTTAAAATTAATTAAAATATATATACATACAGCATTGCTAGTTATTCAAGAGAAGTATATCATCTTAAGAAAAAAAGTTTTTAATAGATATACAGAATTGATATTTATCCAAAAGATGTACAATCCTATACACAAAGTTTATAATAACTAAATGAGAATTGTTAGTTTTTTAGACAATTTAAAAAAATCATACATTTCAAATTATTTATCTCTGTTTTGAAAGTTTGACAGCTGTTCAAGGGTTTATCAAGATCTGTAATTTAGAAATGGACAGATTTGGAGAAAATAATTGACTAAAGAAGAAAACTTGTGATCATGTTTCATTTATTGTAAATGAATTGTATCATTTAATAGATTTATGTCTTCTTTTTTTTAGCAAAATGGAATTATTTTCAAATAAGAATGGCTGTGTTTATAAATCTAAATAATTTGTATCTAGTTGCTATTTATCATTCAATAGTCATAATTAACCCTAAAGGCAGAAGGGGTTAGGGGGGTAAAATGGTTAAGGCGTCTGACTGTCTACGAGCCCTGGGTCGCAGGTTCGAGGTCTATGTGGAGCAGTCCACAGGTACTAGCCATAGGCCGAAGGTTTTTCTTTAGGCACTCCAGTTTCCCTCCACCACTAGAACCTGGCATGTCCTTAGATGAGCTGTTGATAGGGCGTATAACACAAACAAACCTAACAAAACCCTGAAGTCAGAAATTTCTAAAAAAGAAAAGTAGTGAACATTTATTTTCACTTAATGGTTACCTGAAAGTTACTGTGTAAATCTTTTTTTTCATGGTCCCTTTATTTTTGGGGATTTGCTAAACGGTCTAGTGGCCATGGAACATATATAGTGCTAGAGTAAGGATGGATTAGATACCTACTGAGTTTGTGGGTATTTTTTTTTAACGAGAACTTGTTACCCCAAAAACTGCATCAATTAGAACAAAATCAACATTTACAGTATTTGTGAGGATATGAAAATATAAAAAACAATGAGATCTAATTTTTTGTTCCTTGGTTAGTTGTTTTTCAGTCATCATTTACAAATAAAAGCAAAAGTTTTAAATACTTATAATCCTATGATTATTATTGCTAATCTATAACCTTCCAGTGAATCTGGTAAGATCCATAGTCAGGTTCCCTTGCAACTGTTGTCGGTCACGCCCTACGCTAATCTTAAGATTAGCAGAAGGCTTATGACTGCAAGCAAACGCAGCAGGGAACAAGATATTTAAGATGCATAGCATTGATGTGGTGATGAGGACCATCAGGGGATTTTTTTTTAGTGTTGTGGTGTGGAGGCCTAATGAGGGGAAATTTAGATTGTTGGTTTAATTGTTGCGGTGACTCGGGGATTTATTTAATTCATGCATGGCCATGGACAAGTTCTGTCAGCTGTATTTTCGTGGTGATGGGTGCGTTAAAGATAGTGATGCAGAATGCTTTATTCACAGATTTAATATTGAGGATATTTATAATCGATTCTAGCTGGAAGCTCACATCTTTTAATACAAATAACATTTTAAATTCATTGATGGAAATTTAGTTCAAGTTTATAAAGAGATAATTATTCTGATCAGAAAGCTCAAGCAGAACCTTCTAACATTTCTGGTTTTGAAAAAGTAAATGTCCCCAAGTTGAAATAAACTGGTCCCAAAATTATCATATTACATAGATTTATACATGTACACTTCTATTCTTATACATTGTATACTACTACAGTTTATCATACTAGCTTTGATAATATTTTGACAGAAATAAAACGTAAGTTTTGCCTGTCAATTTAACTCGTTCACCCCTGAAGACACATTTGAACTCTTACAATTCAAAGGTTGGAATAGTTCATTATGAAATTTCAGGGGTGAATGAGTTAAAGATCAGTAAGCTGTGAAACAAGTAATATTCAATATCTCATTTTGCACATATCTTCACCTGCCGATTGACCATCTTTGAGTTTCCTTGCCCGGGATATAAAACATTGTTTGAAATATATTTTATTGAAACGATCGCAGGGAAACCAGAACATGGATATATCATGTTTACAGGTTGGCGTTTTAAAGACACTTTCCTTGATTTGATTGGTTTAGGCAAATTTATTCAGCTTTCTGATCCACAAACTTGTGAACAGAATATGTAGTATGTAATATTTTTCTGTAACATACATGTCTTTTATCTTACTGAAAAAAATGATAATGTGCTTGATACCAGAATTACGTTTGGACTAGGTTGTAATTTTAGTCTAAAATAGAGAGATATTTCTTTTTCAATTTTTTTTTTTTTATATATATATATATATATATATAATTTTAGGGGCGCCTAGGAAATTAGAGTTATACAAACGAGAGAAAAAAAAAGTTTACAATCCGAGGAAATCAAGAAACCAAATTAACTGTGTTAAAATGGGATAGGCTGTAATACATGTGTAATTATTGATGTGTCTCTGCAGTTTTGAGATATGTGTCGACATGCTGGACTACATGGATGAAATCCTTAACCTCCAGCAACATGGTGAGTATGTCAGTCAGGCTTGCGTTAAAGCAGTAAGCGGTACTTTTTTCTTAACCTTTTTTTTAAGGGTCCTGAAATTTAACACCTTTTTATAATTTTCAAGTATTTTTTTCATCATATTTCAGAGAAAAAAAATGTTTTAGATTTTAAATATTGACAATTTTTATGAAAGAGATGATATATGTTGTGTTTCCATTTTGGAAAAAAATCCAACAAACAAAAAACAACAACAACGAAAAGCAGACATTTTGTACATCTGGGCACTTTCCTACTACGTAAAATAGAGTATTTGCAATTTCATGGGCATCATTCTTCAAGACAGTTTACAGTAAACCCTGAGGAGTTAGAAAAATGACTGTGAGATGTACTCTATACATGTATTGCTCTTACTACATGTAAAGGGAAACACGATTCTTTGTTTCTCAGAGGTTGATCCTGTTTCATGAGGGCGATTGATCTAGGGCAATGAGTATTTCATCATGATGAAAAAAAAAAATGAAAAAAAACCCCAATAACACAATTGTAGAGATGATCAGGTTGACGAGCCACCGTTGTCGTCTGCTTCCATCATTTGGGACTGGGTTGTGGTGGGTCTTGCCGATTTTTCTAGAGAGGCTCCATTATAAGGGAAATATGACCAGGGAAACTTGAGCGTTTGAGGGCGACATGATGTTTTATTGCCCCGTCATGTGACTAGTATCATCCCTTTAGTTTCTGATCCATGGCGTTTTGACTATCCTGACGTCATCATTTTAACGCCGGTATTTTTATTGCAAATCTACTTCTAAAGTACGACAAATATTAATGCCAGTTTCTTCAATTTATTGTCAAAATTATAGAAATACCTAAAAATATAAGTACTAAGCTACATTCAGTTTACAATTAAAGTCCTATAATATATAACAGAAGTGCAGACAAATGCTCACAAAGTCCTAACACACCATATTCGACTTATCTGCAATCCTTTCCCAGGAATATAGCACTATCACTGTTAACAGAATGAAGTTCAAAGCGTAAATGCCGGTGAATCTTGATAACTGTATTACTCGAGGGTCCTTTGAGAAGTTATCTGAAGACAATAGACAACACTGACTAGATGACAGAAAATCCTGGTAATGTGATAAAAGGGAAAAAATGAACGTGTTTGGAATGAGATTATGTAGTGGAGTTGCATGCATTATATCTTATATTTGTTGAAAAAAATATTTTTGTTTGAAACTTTCCAATTTTTTCTCACCAGTATTTGGTTCTCTGGATATGTCCAGATCCAACTCCATGACCAACTCGGGCCAGTGCCGATTAGCTCCCCTGATTCTGTGTATCCAGGACTCTTGTCAGCTGTACGATTATATAGTCAAATCTCTGTTTAGACTACATTCTAGTAAGTATCGTTACTGGTTTTCTTTCAATTGAATATAAAATTATTTTTTTGTTGAATTTCGAAAAAATATTTAAAAAATTGTTGTTGATGTATTTAAGAAAACATATGTATCATATTTGATCGGTTATACATTCGTAACTGTGAATTTAAATTTGGTTCAAATTTAAAATTTTAATGTTGAAGAAATTTATTATTACCATTTAATAATTCATATCTATGTTTAAAAAAAAAAAACTCTGAAAAAAATATAAATATAATTAAAAAATGATTGGTTATGCTTTATTTAACTATTCCTTGAATTTTGAAAAAAAAATCATTATTACCTTTGAATAACTCATAACTTAATAGGTTAGAAATTTATCAGTTTTTGACTCTGCAAAGAAAAAGGAATTTTGAAAACTTTCTATTCCGTCTTTGCGTATTGCAGAGTTATCTTCTCTTGAGAGCAGGTATTGATTGTTACGTCATTGGTTTGTGTGAAAAAATGACGTCGTTTTCTCAAAAATTGATGATGTTACTCTCACAAACAAATGACGTAACAATCAATACCTGCTCTCAAGAGAAGATAACTCTGCAATACGCAAAGACAGAATATATGAAAATTGATTTGTTTATACAAATGTATCTTATGTTACTGTGTCTTCAAATTGAATAAAAAAAATCCTTGAATTTTGAAAAACATATAACCATTGAATAATTCATATCTGGTTTAAAACATTTGCAAAGTTCTCATAAAAAACATTTTAGAAATATAAATACAAGGAGAAAAATCACTAAAAAATAACAATATTTTGTAAAGAAAATTCTTGAAGAAGCATGTTTGTTTAAAATAGACAAACAAACAAACAAACAAACAAACAAAACAACCAAAAGTCACCGACTTAGAAAATGTAACATATATTTCAGGTCTCCCTCCAGATACATTATCGGGTCATAGGGACCGGTTTTTATCGGCGTACAAACGGTGAGTAGTGATATTCTTCTTGAAGTCGTTTCTTTTGAAGCATTATTATCCCTCTTCAAATTTAATGGAATATAAACATTGCAGCAGTACTTTACTTCAATATTCTAGTCCAAGTTCATTGATATTTTAAGCATTTGTTACTGTTTTTATACGACCGTCAAATTTGACGGTAGTATTATGGTATGGCGTTGTCCGTTCGTCCGGCCGGCGTAAACTTTGTTTGTCCGGCATTCTCCTCCTACAGTTTTCGACCGATCTCTTTGAAACTTGGTATACATTATAAACTTGATATGAAGTTGTGTCTCCATTAAAAGAATTTTGATTCGACAATTTTTCCGGAAGTTATTGCCCTTTGTTCATTTCAGTATTTGAATTTTGTCCAGAGATCTCCTCCTACATTTTCGACCGATCTCTTTGAAACTTGGTATACATTAAAATCATGATATGAAGTTGTGTTTCCCTTTAAAAGAATTTTGATTCGACAATTTTTACAAAAGTTATTGCCCTTTGTTCATTTTAGTGTTTGATTTTTGTCCAGAGATTTTCTCCTACATTTTTTATAGCATATCAACTAACCACTCTTAGAATGATGCAGATCTTATTTAAATGTAAGAAAGTATATAACACTATATGGCATTCGACGGGCGTATTTTGTTCCGCCCCGAGGTACTCTTTGTTGAATTTGGCCTGGTATTTTTTAATTTATTTTTCTTTAACAATGAATAGATGTAGAATCTTCTATTTCTTTTCGTTTCAGTCTTAAGCAATTTTACCTCAGCAGCAGTAACTTACAGTACTTCAAAAATCTAGTCCAGGTGCCGTTTTTACCCGAAGTAAGTATAAAAATTATGTTCACCTGAAACAAGTACAAAAATTTTGTCAAGGTGTCAATTTTATCTGATGTAAGTATAAAAATCTAGTAAAGGTGCTGTTTTATCCGACATAAGTAAAGAAATCCTGTCTGGGTGCCGTTTTAACCTGACATAGGTTTTCAAATCTAGTGTTTAGGTAATGTCCTTACTGACTGACATATCTCATCTTAGTGCAGTTCTTACCACAACAAGCATACAAATAATATTAAAAAAATTAAACATTTATGTTCCGTTTTGTAATCGAAAATAAACTTTAATAGTGCCAGCAAAATTACAATTTATTAAAAGGTTTATTTTTATCAAAAAAAATAATAAAAAAATAAAATAAAAAAAATATAAATATAAATTAAAAGTTAAAAAAGAACATAAGAGGCAGAGAAAACGTAAATATAAGTGCTTCAATATTCCCTATAAATTAAAAAGATAAGACTTAAAAAAATAAAAAAATGTGAACAAAGTTTATATATTAAAGTTTAAATGTATATTTAAACATGGTTTATGACACAACATTTACACAAACCTCCTCATCTTTATTTCTAAATGGCAGTTAGATATAAGTCACAGCACAGTCTGTAGCTATACGGTTTTCCCACTCACATCTACAGTGTGTGCGTTTGTTAAGACCAATATGAGATAACATCATTTGTTTAGGGTTTCTGTCCAGCCATGCAGCCTCCTGCACCAGACACATAACCTTATATGTCCTACTGACTAATGCTGCGTCATACAGCAACATTTCTAAGCAATGAGTAATAGTCACGTGACTTGTAAGAATCCTGGTTTTGATACACTGGCTGGTTCAGTTTTACAACTATCAGCGAGCTGTACAGAGGTACCCTCCATCCTCCCCTATTCAAGCCACCTTCACAAATTAAATTTGGTGCTCTCAAACACTGAACATAGCAATAGGGCCTTATCACTTCGGTGTAACTCAGCTCCTCCCCCATTCTCAGGGGGAGCTGTAGCACTTATACGTAGGGGTCGTTCACAGACCAGCTGCTTCCTGGCACCCCGTAAACACGCTAACTCAACATGAACTAAAATCGACCTTCGGCACAGCTCTGTTCCGCTGTGGGCTCCACCGGAATTACGACATACGCCACAGCCGCTTTCACACAGTTCATACAGCCCTATAGTATGTAGACTGTCCATATTATTTGCCATATATGGACACTATTAATAATGCATGCAAGTTTACGGCCGGGCCTACGCCACTTCGTCGAGACTTCAAAATTCTAGGTGAGGTTATTTGCAGAAAGTCTGTGAGTACCCTTATGTTGCCAAAATATTGTTGTATGAATAAATATGCTACGAATCTAACTAATTTGCTTGTTGTTGTTTCATAAGTAATGTTTATGTTATTTGCAAATCAAACATATATATAGAAATAAAATATGAATGTAGCGGAGGTCATTGTTTTTTCAATGCCTCTGCTAGAGATTGAACCATGTCCAGTCTGGGTGCATTTCCGACATATCATAAAATATTTTTTTTTTTTGTCCAGTGCCAATCTTACTGCTTTAATTCAATCACCCCTGTAATTTAATAATGAACTATTCCAACCTTTGAAATGGAAGAGTTCAAATGTGTTGCAGGAGTGAATGTGTTAAATATATAAAACTAGTCCGGGAGTTATTGTGACTTATGCAAGTGTAAAATTTTAGTCTAAGCTACAGATTTAACTTTCTCTTACCCTGGACAGGTGTATCCACACTTTTGCCTGTGTGAGATATCCTTGTCTCACCCTAGGGTTGAGACGGGTGGATTCCCCTATTCATAACAATGGTATGACATCACATCAACAATCTATCAACATTACCTCAACCCTGAATTTAGCCTGTAACATTAACATTACATTATGTATATGATACACAATGGGAGAACAGGATAAGAGAAAAAGAATCATTCACCCCTTTGGAGATGAGATTAATAGAATCTTTCACCCCCTTGGGGGTGAGATAGGAGAATCGCAACCCTAGGGGGAAGATTAAAGCCTCGTGTTTGGCAACTTAAGAATCCTTTCCCGAGGGTTGAGATTCCCCTATCTCACCCACAAGGGGGTGAATGATTCTTTTTCTCTTACCCTGTTCTACCATTGTGTATCATATACACGATGTAATGATAACGTTACATGCTAAATTCAGGGTTATGCCATTGTTATGAAAAGGGGAATCCCCGCGTCTCAACCCTAGGGTGAGACAAGGAAATCTCACACCGGTAAAAGTGCGGATACAGCTGTCCAGGGTAAGAGAAAGGGGAATCTCAACCCTCAGGGAAAGGGAAATATTCTTAAGTTGCAAAATCCTCGGCAAAGCCTGGTGTTTGGCAAATTAAGAACCTTCCCCCTTGGGTTGAGATTCCCCTATTTCACTCCCATGGGGTGGAAGATTCTATTACCTAGTCTTTATCAATGTACAAATTTGGTAAAAAAATAATTATATATAAATTATACAACATTTGATATAGCGCCCTATCTAGCTAAAATAAGCCACTCTAAAGCGCTTTACAGTTTATAAATATACAATTCATACAATCAATACAATTAGCATATACATTACTCAATACAATTTTTGAGGAATTCACAGGAGCTGCCTTATCAGGTGCTAACTACTAGTCCTATGCCACCTGGCTAATATCTCCCTATGTGTGTATGGCTGCATGTGTGCTGGAGATGTTTTGTGTCAAAGAACCATTCATACCAAACAGATGTACAAAAATCAAGTACAGATAGATTTTATCTGACAAAAATGAAAACTCAAGTTCAAGTAAGTTCCATTCCTCAAAACATCAGAACAGGCAGCATTCAAAATTAAAAAATAAACAAATTTGCATTATTATAACCCCAAACAATTTTTTTCTAATTTCAGGAACCACCTAATTTCTTGATCGCCTCTGACTTTAACAAACATGTGAAACCTGTGGCTGTTGTTCCCACGGAACCAGAGCCAGAACCTGAACTCGAAACTCCGGACACGGACAGTATCGGAGACCTGGTGGACACTTCCCATCCCCCGCAGGTAAACACCAACTATTTACATACCCCCTTAAGTATAAACATTTTCATCCCATCTGATATTTTTCATTTTAAACAGAAAAAGATAATTCCCCAACATAATAATGAAATAAATTAGAAATGTTGGAATTCAAATAGCAAAAAAATCATTTTTCCAACATAATACACAAAAATGAAATAATGTAAATGTACGATTCTTTTAAAAATAGCTTGAAAAGAATTTTGTTTGCAAATATTATTTTGCGAAAAAAACACAGAGGTAAAAAAAATGTTTACTTTTGAAAAGTGAAAAATATTCATAATATTTTAGCTGCAAGTACATTTACATTTAATGATGTTTCCACTTTTAGTTTGCTGAAACTTTCGGCAATGGCTTTGGTCCTCCAGAGACAGATGAAAGGTAGGTATCTTGGAATGTGACCGTAAGGTTTGATTAACGTGTGACTAATAGAATCATTCACCCCCTCGGGAGTGAGATGGGGGATCTCAACCTGAGGGGAAAGATTATCAAGTTGCCAAACAGGAGGCTTTGCCAAGTATTTGGCAATGTAAGAATCTTTCCCTACCCTGAGGGTTGAGATTCCCCTGTTTTACCCACAAGTGAGTGAATGATTCTTTTTCTCTTACCCTGTTCACCCATTGTGTATCATAGACACAATGTAATGTTAACGTAACAGGCTAAATTCAGGGTTGACGTGACGTTGATGGAATGTGGATGTGATGTCACACCATTGTTATGAATAGGGAACCCATCCCCCCCCCGTCTCAACCCTAGGGTGAGACTAATAGAATCTTTCACCCCCTTGGGGGAGAGACAGGGTAATCTAAACCCGAGAGGTAAGATTCTTAAGTTGTCAAACACTAGGCTTGCCGAGTGTTTGACAGCTTAAGAATCTTACCCCGAGGGTTGAGATCACCCTGTCTCACTCCCAAGGGGGTGAATGATTATTTTTCTCTTACCCTGTTTACCCTTGTATTTTACATAGACATTACATCAATGCAAGACAATGTTGATGTGATGCGGCTGAATTGTCGACGTGACGTCATTGTATTGTTGCAGTGACGTCATGGTATTGTTGCTATGACGTCATACAATTGTTGAGAACGTGCGAAGAGCACGTGTAGCTTGTCTCAACCCTAGGGTGAGATAAGAAAATCTCACACCGGTAAAATGGTGGATATCCCTGTCCAGGGTAAGAGAAAAGGATATCTCCTATCGGTTAAGTGTGGATACACCTGTCCAGGGTAAGAGAAAAAGAGAATCTCTCACTCTTGTGTGATCGTGCAGACAAAGAAATGTCAACCTGAGGGTAAGATTTTTTAAGTTTAAGAGTGCTTAACTTCATAAAATCTTATCCTGATGGTTGCTATTTTGATACGACCCTCAAATTTGACGGTAGTATTATGGTATAGCGTTGTCCGTTCGGCGTAAACTTTGTTTGTCCGGCAATCTCACTTCGCTCTCTGCATCCCTGGAATATGTTGTAGCAAAATCAAAGGCTCAGTGGGCATTACCTTGTGGATGAGGCCACAAGACTAGTTGATCCTTTGATGTACATCAAAAGAATCTCGCGGGAGCATGACAGTAAAATTGACAGGCTTCGAAGTTGAATCTACCTCCTCTGTAAAAAGACAAAAGACAAGTATCAATCTAGCGATTGGTCAGAATTTTTTACCTGAGGCGAATTAAATAGCAAGCCATGTGCTTTAAATTTCGCTACGACATATTCCAGGGGTGCGGAGAGCGAAAGTGAGCGTTACCCCTGGAGTATCTAGGATGAAGGTCTATGTACATGTACAACATGTTTTCAGCAGATAAAATGGGAGTACATTGAGCGTGATTTGTGTTTCACAGAGATTTGTTGATTGAGCGGTTGACGCGGGAGGTCCAGCAGCTGAGAGCGGAGCTGGAGAGGGTGAGAACGGAGGTATGTCGCAGTTATATAAGATTAAATGTGACGTGAAACGACTGTTATTATCAATAGCTACCTGGTAATTCTTGCCATAAGAGTTCAACAAGATGGCTGGCTGGTAAGGTTCTTATGTTATTCAAAGGTTTTGTACAACATATGCATCCTGGAGGTGGGCAACTTTCGCCCAATCAAACTTAAACCCTTCGCCGGTAAATTCAATATTCGCCCAGTTTTGATTTCACCCTATACATTTATTACTATGTATATTTTGTTGTTTACTTAAGTCTGCTGAAATGATAAATTCGCCCTTATTACGGAGCAGGAAAAAGGCAAAAAATTAAATTGCAGCGAACATTTCCTAGTATACAGTAGCCATTCATTTTCAAATAGGAGATGTATTTTTTATGTTTTTAAATATTTTTGGAATCGTTTGTTAGAAAATGGTGATAGAAAATGAAGTTGTTAGTTTTGTAACAAAAAATATTTGAAGGAATCAAGAATTTAAAATCTACATAAATTACATTTGTCCAAAAATATATTTGATTCTGACATTTCACGTTTTACTCTGCGAACTTTGGAGGTCATCACCGTCATATTGATGTTTTTGTTTTCCAGAAATAAGGTCATTATCAGTGCGAAATATTTTGGAAGGTTGTAAGAAAAATAGCAAATCTTGTCTACATATGAGTATTTTTACTGAAACACTTTGATGTTCAAATGTTTTTATTTACGCTTACAGGATATGAAAATCATCACAGCTCAAAAAGAGGAGATTGCAAAGTTGGAAAAAATTCTATCAGAACTACGTCTATCTGCAGACAAGTCCCTAAAGGTATACTATTATTGATTTGTTCAAAATTGTTTGTATATATCGTTATTTTGATTAAGAAATAAAACGAGTGTACGTTTTTGTGGTCTGCTATTTAGTCAACATAACACGAGAAAATACTGATTTAAAATGTTTGTTATTTTAAATTGCTCACATTGAATTACACGTATTTGAGAAAAAATGTATTATTTCGAGTTTTCATACATTGTTGTTGGTGTATAAATTGATTAAAAAAAAATGATTTGATTGTTGTTTTTTTGTATCTTAAATGTAGAATTAAACCATTTTATACTGTCACTATTTATTTGTCAGGAAAAATTTTGACTTTATAATAATTTATTTTTTATACTGTCACTATTTTCAGGCAAAATTTTGACTTTATACAAAAAATTGACAATGTATCAAAGGAGATATATAAAAGAATTATAAGGAAAAAACCCCAGAAAGAAAAAGTTAAAAATCTGTTGTCAGTTATAAGTGGCCAATATTTAGTGGAGTAAGTGTTGTAACAGCATGTTCTTTGAGTCTGCTATTTTGTTCAATATGCTGTTTTATTTCATTTATTAATACATCTTTGTCGCAAATAATATTTGCTGTTTATATATTTCACAGTGAAAATCTTAGGCAAAGTAAAAGAATTCTACTTATTTCTGGATCTTCAATCCTCAGATTTTTTTTGTATAAGGCTTCAGACCCAAAAAGGGCCTACAAATAGTCCTGAAGTTTGTACAAAAAATGAATTGTATTTTTTTAAATTTTATTTTTAACAGGAAAATGACAGTCTGAAGAAAAAGCTTGAAGAAGCCAGTGTACATGCAGGTGCTTCAGTTAAACTGTCCGAGTCAGAAAGTAAGATTTGAAATTATCAAAATACAGTCTAACTTCCATGTTTCGAACTTTGAGGGATCATTTGGAAAATTTGAAACATTGGGATATCGACTCATGAATATTGAACATCGATTTCCTGTAAATACAGAATGGGATTCTTCAAATATGTGACGAAAACACAGGCTTAAACATTTAATTTTAGTCATAAATATTTGATTTGTTATCAAATTTAACATTTCTTTGTCATTTAAATTTTCGAGGCTTGTACTGTTAAAATAACCACAGACATTTTCGTGTTCTAGTACATGTGAATATTTCACTTCAATTTGTTAGTTGTGATTTTCAGTGTTTTTATAACGATTGGGCCTTTGTTATACTTCAAATATACCTCGAAATAGCGAGAAATTTGACTCATAGAAGTTTGAGTTATGATAAGAATATTAATAGTATTAAATAAGGGAAACAATTCTGGAATTTGCAGTAAGTTCAACACATCGAGAAGTTTGAATCTTCAAAGTTCGATATATGGAAGTTCGGCTGTGTGTTTCATATTGTGATACACAGACTAGTCTTAAGTTTGATATTATGTGTTCGTTCATTTTCAGTTTGACAGAAATTCCTATTTTACACCAGAATTGAATGTTGTCACATTTACAATCTAAAATAACTAACAGATCTGTAGGTTAAGGGCACATGCTACCTTCCGCATTATGCCTGTGGGTTATGTACCCTTACCATTATCCAACAATTCAGAAATTCCTACATCGATGTAAGTTGTCGAGAGTTAATCAATATATCCCTGAAAGAAAGATTCCCAGCATGAAATAGAAAGAGTACAGGAACGCTAATAATGTACATAAAAACATATAGGAATTTTTGATAATTCAGTTGTGATGTCCAGTGTTTTTGTGTTTCAAAGATCCCCATACCACTGTCAAAAATTGCATATAAGTATTGGAAACTGTTTTCTGGAATAGCTGTGGTAAATCATTTCTAAAAGGAAAATGATATCTTTAGGAACTCTTATGAGAAATAATGAAGATAAAATGAACAAAACATAATCAACAACAGTGTTCGGAGTGTAAAAATTCAACGGGGCTTGACCGGGATTCGAACCCCGGACTTCTGATTGTTATACAATCACTTTAACTTATTCAGCTACCAGCTGGTCAACAGAAGTGTCCTGGCCTAACTTTGCTACAGTAATATCCAAAACGAAGTGAAGGGGAGGTAACTGTAAATAGGAAAAACGGCAGTAAAGTGGGCAGTAAAGTGGGACAGGGATACTTGAGCAGTGTTTCGAAAGGAATATTCTTAAATGTATTACAATCTTTTAGTGCACAGGTGGTAAACAGGTGGTCTGACCGAGATGCAAAGTTTCCAAAGGGGCCCCCTGCGGGGAGGTCGTCGGGCAACTTCTTACCGCACTATATGAAATCAAGAAATATGTATCTTAAGTCCAGGTTGAAACTAAAAGAATCCCCTTAGCAGTAGTTATTCATCATCAGAAGTTAATTGCACACATGTCAATATTCAAATGAAGAAATATTTGTTGGCATCTCTGCATTATTTATAGACACCAGGAACTCTCTATAATCGGATTATCGGTACATATGGGTACGGGACTAATTACCTTCCCTCAACCATGGGATAAACCTTTCTTAAAAGGGAATAGTCACGGGACGAATGCCCCTTTTCAAATGTTTTCATAAAGTGCATGTATGCATTGGCAATTATAACAAAAAGAAATGTTTGTGATTTTTTTTTTTATTACAACTCATTGTCTCTGACCACTTCATTATCCGATTCAATTCAAATTATTTCTTACAGGATTTACAATATTAAAACAAGAAATAATTTCATATAACTGGTACATTCGTCACAAATCAACAACAACAATAAATCATCGCAATCATTATTGTCATCACTTTTATCATTATCATCGTCGTCGTCGTTGATGACTTATAAATCAACATCATCGACTTCATCATCATCATCATCATCATCATCATCATCAAAATGCAACAACATTAACCCTTTCACCCCTAGGTAATTTGAGTAGACTCTACCATGCATTCATCTGGATGAGTCCGTTATGGTCTACAGTGGTGAAAGGGTTAAGTAATTACCATATTAAACATGAAAGATTGTACAAACAAAACATGGACATGATATAATTGGACAAGATTAGGTTAAACAAAGTTATAACTTTAACCAACAATTCCTTTGTTAATTAGCTTCAATAATAATTTTTTTCTAACAAGTTCAGCTCTTTTCCATTGTGTGTATTTACTTTTTCGATAAGTTTGAGTACAGATGGTTTTTGCCAGTATTAATTTTTAATATATTTTCTCCTTAGATCTAGATGACCTGGGCAGGTAAACAGAAAATGAAATTCATCTTCTATCTCTATTAGGTCAGAGCTACTGCAATATCTATTATTCCTTGCAATATTTACATAACAAAACAAGTTTATCGGTGTCCCAATTTGGACAAACAAATTAGCGAGATCAATGCTTTTAAATACTTATTCATAACATAAACAGTATTTCTGTTGATCAAATTTCAGCTTTATTCACTTCCTGGCTGTGTGGAAGAATACATCGGCGTACAAATTATATAGTTGTTAGGGCAGTTATTTTCTCCTTGGAATACTTCCCACCTGCAATAATGCTTGCGTAACGTAATTCCTTGCGCTATCTTTTGACGCAGCTCTTCGCTTCGCAGCTCACGCGTACCGGTTTTCACTCGCTAACACTTCCCACGGCAAGTCCTTTTTATTACAATGAATTGGTTTTCTATGGCATGCATAAGTAGCTATGACGCAGAACAAAACGTTGGTCAAACAGGTAGAAATCCCCATAATTATCTGAAAATTATACATTTTTATGAATATGTATAAGCAAAATCCAACCGTCCTATTCCATAAGGAGGCTCACTTGATATGTTTATGTAGTATTTCAAAAAAAAAACACAAAAAAAAACAAAAAAAAACTTCACCATCACGTGATGTCGCTTTAATAGTTATAAAGATACAAGAATATTTCGTTATTATTTTTCAGAAGCGACAAAAGCCAATGAAGAAAAATTCAAGAAAATGAAAGACATCTATGGAAAATTACGAGAGGAGCATGTCAACTTGTTGAGAACGGTAAGCTTTCGTAAAGTGTTTAACGTTACAATCAGTGTCAAGTTATCACCATCTGATCAAAATTATATTTAACAAGGGATTTTTTATTAAAGTTTAATTCAAACTTTCCCTTCGCCCAAGCTTGTTCAGTTAATACATTTGTATGTCTCTGTGTCTCGGGGGCCACGGTGGCCGAATAGTTAAGGTGTCTGACAGTCTAAGATTGCGTGGGGCCTTCCAGGTACTGGGTGCAGCAGGTTGGTGGTTTTTTAGGTCACCTGAGCTTTAGCTCAAGTGACCTATTGCTATCCGTTNTACTCCTGTATTCCTCCACCGCCAAAACTTGGCATGTCCTAAAATTAATAAAGCTGTTAATAGGATGTTAATACAAACACACACTCTGAGTATCATTATCCTAATTGCTTTTGAAGATTAATTGACAACTAATTACAAAAGTATAGTTTATGATGAATCCTTTTTTATATCTTTAATGTTTAACTTTTGAAAATATATTTATTTTATTTTTATTTTTCGTAAAAAAAGGGTTTAAAAATCTAATGGTTTCCAATTGAAATTTAGACTATTCCTTCTGTTGTGGTTTAGACGTCTATCATTCTGGAAAACTAAAAGTAAATTAAGATTCTTTCCGGGTTAAATGCTAAAAGGATTGGACTTATAGTATCACTTGAATTCACACTGAGACATATTTTTTTTCAGAATGCCGAAACGACAAAAAAATTAGAAGGACAACATAAATCACTTGAAGAAAAAGAACAGTTGCTGAAGGTAAGGGCTTGTTTGTATTTTAAACTGGTCTAGATACATCTCAAGTGCCTCGATAATTTGTTCTAATTTTTATGGTGGTAAACAGTATCATCCTCTTAATGTCACGATCACTTATCTAAGGAACCAAAATGTGATATAAATCAAAATGTGATATAAACCAAAATGTTATATAAACCAACATGTGATATTAACCGAAAATGTTTTTCTGCTGATATAAACAAGCACTGGTATAAATTCTGAGTTAAATGGAGATACATTTTATATAATGTACATGAATTTTCATTTCCTAGCAAACAGCTATGTCTCTAAACCAGTTATTTTGATGTCTCATTTTTTGCACCAAACCAAAGAGTGCAAATTAACCCTCAAGTCAACGTATCTTTGTTTTCATGTTTAAACTTTATATATTTGACATGTGATATATAAGAGGATATACATATTAAATTACTAGATATAAAACAAATAAATTGCATACAGTATATAAACTAGTGAGAAAAATGGCGTTTTAAGGAAACATGATATTATCCAATATGTGACATTAAGCGGAGTCTTCTGTAGAAAATATAAATCTTATTTCAATGGATTTCATCATAACTGCAAATCAATTCAAGTTTGTTAATGTAAAATAGTACAAATTTCTTAATGTTATATATCATTGTGGAATTTGATAATAATCTCGGTTAAACAACTGCAAAACTGCATTTTCTCAATTTCGGGGTTTTATTGCTATAAAAAGATCTTTTTCTGCATTAAAAATTGTCAATTTGAATGTTCTTAATTTTTTTGGGCTTTTTTTTTGTTATTTCTATGAAAGTTTGAAACTTGAAGTGATCATGTTTGATGTTCACTTGCAGATTGATTAAAATGTTTCAAAAAATATCTGTGCATGCAACTACATATTTGTGAGATAGCATGCATTGGAAACTATTAATCCGATTCAACATCGAATGATATGAATATTATCAGGAAAGGTAGCTTCATTGAAGCAAGTATAAGATGGAGCATCATCTATGCATGGCATTAACCAAGTTTTATTGAAAATGCTCAAATTAAGGTAATGATGAGATGGTTAGGGTTATTCCAGATATAAAGTTATAGAAGATAGAGGTATAGGGAGGAGTAATGTCCCCTACTTCCCACAATCATTTTTAAATTTTCCTCTGGGATGGTATGGTGAGAGAGACTTTTTAACGACCCAACCACAACTTATTTAACTCATTTACCCCTGAAACTTTATAATGAACTATTCCAACCTTTGAATTGGAAGAGTTCAAATGTGTCTTCTGGGGTGAATGAGTTAAATAAGTTGAGGTTGGGTTGTATTTAACTCATTTACCCCTGAAAACACATTTTAACTCTTCCAATTCAAAGGTTGGAATAGTTCATAATGAAGTTTCAGGGGTGAATGAGTTAACAAATAATAACAATTATTTTAAACCCCATAGTTCTTGTTTTATGTCTGACAAATCACTAGAAGAGTAATATACATTATATACAACATATTTATTACATCAACACAAATCTTTACACATACAAAAACATTTTGGCATTAGGGGCGAACTCAGCTCGTAAATTATAATATCAATTATAATTTCAATTCTATTGTTTACTACCTTTGTTCCTGTAGCCTGAATTATTCAATATGAGATACAGTGATAATTGTAATGTAACATAGCTGGTATAGGTCTATAGGAACAAAGGTAGCATAATCTTGTGTTGGGTAAATTCAGTATTTCTCAACTCGGTGTAGGCGAGCGGATTCTAGACTATATGTGGGTAGTCTGGCTACTCGTCTATATAGTGCTAGGCATAACTACAAGAGCTGGAAGAGAAATTCTTGAATCTATACCCCTCAACTCGGTGTAGTCGTTGGACGAGTGTGTTGGCCGTGTTGCTACAAGAGCCGGAAGAAGGGTATGCCCATGGTACAGAGAAAATATTTTCTCGACATCCTCGACACAGTGTAGGGCGTTGGGCGAGTAATGTTGGCCGTATTGCTACAAGCCGGAAGAGGATGAAGATTACAAGCTAGCAATATCCTTAACTCGGTGTAGCGTTGTTTGCCACAAGAGCTAGAAGAGGATAGTGAATTTGAGATTTGTTATGGTTAAGTAACCATATAAAGAATTGAATAGTATAAATTTTGGGGAATTAAAGTATTAATTGTTATATGATCCCCATTGTCTAATAATTAATAATTGAAATATGCCTGTTGCAGACGTAGCTCGGGTATACTCCGTCTCATCCGGCTCTGTCCCAGGGTTGACTGCGGTGTTTGTAGATGTCGGCGATACTGTGGGGACGTTTCTTGTCTGCATAATCCCTAGCACAGCAGTCTGCAGTCCCGCGACTGTCTGCTGCATGGATTTCATTGCCTCCATTATGTGTTTGACAGCGTCTGTGTTTTGATCCATGGGCGCGGCCATATTTGTTGGTGACGTCATGTGATCATGCGTAGGAATATGGTGATTCCTCTCTGTCGTATCACCGCTGTCTGGAGCTGTGCGCGCACTCTCGTCGGTGTGGCGTTGTACTCCCTCCGATGACTGTGTTCGAACAACAATGTCCGGAACTAAGGGCACTGCATGTGTAGCTGTCTCTTCGCAAATAACTTGAATTGTATTGTTTATATCGTCCTGTTCGACAGACACATTGGGAAGCGGAACTCGGGCGTGCGTACCCACGGGCATGGCGCTTGCATTTCTGCGACTTCGCCCAATGTTCTCCATATACACGGCCCTCAGTGTTGCCTTAGCCATGTTGGGGGGCATCGATATACCCATAGCTTCCAGCTTCTCTCTCAGTTTGGAGACTGTCCAGTTTGCCGGATTAACGAAATCCCATGGCACCCTCAGAGTAGACCTTCGTCTCTGGCGGGAAGCTATAGTCCACAAGTTTACAAAGTTTATGTACAAGTTTTCACTCTAATACTCCTCTCCTGAGGCTTGGAAAAACACGAAACGTAGCTAAATATATCCTTTAGTCGTTCTAGTTCCCGCTGGTGTTAGATAGTCCAAGTAATTATTATAAACTATGGTAAATTAGAGGAGTGAAAATAGCGATTACGATATATGACTCACTGGTTACTGACGCTGCGATGCTAGGGTACTGGTCAAGCGGTCTTTGTATAGACTGACCAATCGGTAGCTGGTCCTTTGTGTTGACTGACCAATCAACTCCTTGAGTCAGGCCCTATTCTGGATATGTATACAACTGACCAGGCCTTCCGTGGGATATACGAAAGGGTTACTTATCTGTTATAACAGCATGTTACAATATTGATTGATTACTCAATAAATATTGTTTACCCGTACCTTGGTGTGGTTATTTGTCGACATAAACCTGGTTTATATACATAAACCTTAAATCATAAACTATAAGCCCTTCATAATGGCTTAAAAGTCATGTATCTGAAAAATCCTATCAATCATAATGGGGTAGCTATAAAATGTGTAGAACATGGTGAATTTTTTGTTTTGCTTCCTAATAGGTCAAATATTAAAACATGAATGATTATTTTGATTTAGTTGCCATTACCCGTAAATTATAAGAAAAACACAATAAATGCGTCTCTGCTCGCCTCTGCCTTACACGTCTGACATAGCCTTAAGTATTAATATAAACTGTACCTGTTACTTGAAATGAGTACAGGAGCCACGTTCTTAAGGAAGAGGTAAAAATATTTTGGGATTAACTTGAATTTTCACTCCATTATATATGTAGAGCTAACATCCATGTCATGTTGGATCTAGAATTAAGAAGGGCAGGGGTTGACACTAACACTAATCTGCTAGTCCTGGACTAGTAGATTTCAGCAAGGACTTGTGAATCACCTATCCTAACTGTTTTTTTGGAATTGTGAGATATATGATTATGAAATAAGAATATTCCTTTCTAACATTTAGAAAACTGTTTAAAATAATCATCATGCAATGATAATTGTCAACATTTTCCTAAAACTTCACCGTATTTTTATGGCAATAGTGATTTTAAATCCCATACAGTCATTTACTTTTGATGTTTCATGCTGTAGATCTATCGCGATGTTTCCTTGTCAGAAAATCGTGGACTAGTTACATTGACGAAGGACTAGTAAATAATCTATTTAACTAGTCCTGTGTACTCCCAACCAGTTAGTGTCTAACCCTAAAGGGGGTGGGCTCATTACTGGGCATGGGCTTATTACTGGGCGTGGGCTTATTACTGGGCGTGGGCTTATTACTGGGCGCTGGCTTATTACTGCCCGTACTGGCCACGGGCCTATCATCGGTTTATATACTGTGTGTGCATGTCTAAACACTGGATGCTTATATACATGATAATATAGTGCTTTAATTTTTTTACAGGGTCAAATTTTTGTCAGGGTTATAGGGTTAGTTTTCAGTTTTCGTCATGCAATAAACTTTTCAAGGGTTTAAATTTTGCTTGGCACTACTTATCATCAACTGTTCTAATCAACTCTCCATCGGAAAAGCAACAAATTTGTGCTATTTATAGTTTGTTCAGTTTTCATGCCTCTTGTATAGTGGTAATTTTAACTCTTTAATACGAATGCTCTACAGTTATAATGGGATTTTGAACAGATGTAGTGTTATGCACACAGGCATTTACTCCTCCTGTGAGCTAAGTATATTTTATGTTAAAAGACTTTGTGAAAAGTATTTTGATGCAAAAGAATGTTTATGCAGAGGTGTACAATTTTGTAAACATAATGCCCTGGAGTGCGAACAGATTTCATGTTAATGCCCTGGAGTGCAAACAGATTTCATGTTAATGCCCTGGAGTGTGGAGTGTGAACAGATTTCATGTTAATGCCCTGGAGTGTGAACAGATTTCATGTTAATGCTTACCAAATTTGTTTTACGGTGACAATGAAGGTGGGGCATTAGCAGAATTTTTCGAAAACCTGTTTGGTTATATCCCAAATAAAAAACTAAGGGGAGGTTAGTGTATTCAAAAAAACACTCCAGTGGAACTCTTTAGTGTTTTGCCTGTAGTGGCACATGGATCCTTAAGTGAATATATTATATATACGAGGAATGCCTGCCTGAGAATGGATGTTAACCTGGAATTTAAAGCAGGTTTAATGCATGTTAATGTATTGTGTGTGTATTGGCTAACCTTGATAGGAGTCCCACGGCGACATACAAAGAATGGAAAACGAACGGAAGGTGCTGCAGGAGAGTCTTCAGCAGAGTGCCGACGAAGTCACATCACAACTCGCCTTCGCCACGTCCAAAAATACGGAGCTTGAAAAAACAGAAGAGGTATAAACAGCATCCATAACAGTAGTGCTTGACATATTTTATCATAATTATAAGAAATGGGAACCATTAGCTTAAGACATTCTTTATTAATATTTGATCACTGATTTGAAAATTGGACCCGTGAATCCTTGATATACTGCCAACATTTGTACAGCAAAATTATAAAGAGAGTGATGATATATCGAGGGAGACGTTTAAAGGATTTTTCAAGAAAAAGAAGAAAGAGTACCTTTTAATTGAAATGATTTGTCAGTATAAGAGAGTTTGCAGATGTATCGCACGGCATTATACGAAGGGTTTACTGTATCTGAAATTTTACATGAAACACCATTTGGCAGTTAATCCTGTCGGTCTTATTTTGTGAAATCCAAAAAAAAATTGTCTTAAATGTTTCCCATTTCCATAATATGTTTGTAGAGATGCTGTTATGTTGCTTTCTTGGTTTGTAATTTGGCTCTCCAGTTAAATACTGGGTGTAGACCGATATTAAACTGAAGAAAGCAACACACACAGAATGTGAATGTTTGATTGGACGTTGTACTGTTCCGTCCCTCGTACAACGACCTAGACAGCATCTTGTTACTACCATATTTAATGTTGTCCCGTCCCTCGTAGAGTTGACAAACACAGCATCTTGCACCGAAGCATGGCTCGTGTTAAGAATTAAAAAATTAAGCATGATAGAAAAAAAGAATTTCGATTAAATTGCTTTGATTTATTCTCGAACCAGATGTTTCAAGCCCAAGGGCAGGGATTTAGTGCCAATCAGGTAAATAATAATTTATAGTAAATTAAACAAATTTCATGAAAATGGAGCGTTTTAAATTTGAACAATTTATCATGATTAAATATTCAAGATCTGCCACGCCCGTTTTCCTTGATGTTTCTGTAATTTTCATACTAGCATCATTTGTAGATGTGTATTTATTTATGACATCGCAACACAGTGGATGGGGGAGTTTTAATGTTTGCCATTTCACTCAGGGTGTCTGTAGGTCATCTCGGTTAGAACTTTGTATTTTGATCCATCGATTAAGTGCAGCATTCATCAAAACTTCATATGTATAGGTACGTCTCGAGAAGTACTATAGGCCTACTATACACCAATACATGGAATGTAGGTCACTGTGACCTATATTTCCTGCTTCACTGACCTCAGTTAAGCATTGTGTTAAGCCTCGTTGGCAGGAACAAAGCAAGGAACAAAGCAAGGGCATGTTTGTTTTACAAATATTTCCTACCTCGTACATAGGTAAGACTGAAACTCACCATCAGAGTACTCCGACTATATAGGCAATTGAGCTTGAAAATGTTGCCAAAATCTGTTCAGAAGAAAGTTAGGAATCATTTAGGCCTGATTCCACAGTAATGTTAATTACCTACATCTGGATACATTACAAGGTTTGTACGGGCTATAAAAAAATCCAAAAATGAGAAGTGTCATTCTTTTTAAAATCCTAAATTCAAACTTTTGATCAAAGACACCCTAAATAATGAAATTTATCTCAGAGGAGGCTTGGACTTAGGTGAAAATATGAATATTTTTCTATAGCCACATTTAATAAAGACTTTGGAAATGACTCGCATTTAGTTTTCAAATATCCATATGATACTTGCTTTGTAGAGTTTACAGGGAACTTTTATTAACCTTGAAATAATTTCACTAAAAACAGCAACTGGAACACAAGGTAAAAACCCTGGAAGAGGCCAAGTCTAGTCTGATGTCACAGCTACAGACAGTGGAAGAAGAAACCTCAGCCCTACAGACAAAACTCAACGAGGCAAACGATGCCCGCCAACACACGGAGACCGAACTGTCAGGGGAAATAACTACCCTGCAGGGTCAGCTCCAGCAGATAAAGGAGGAGAGGGATGCTCAAGGGGCACAACTCTCGCAAGAAATTGGGGATCTCAAGGTACTCTTGGAATAATTGTACTTTCAATTTAGGCCAAACAAAATGGAATTTTCATTAAGGGTTATACAGTCATGTATTTAAAAATTTGTTATATTTAGAAAATATTTCATTCTTATATTATTTCATTCTTATTTTAATTTCTTAATTTTTGAAAAGGTTTTATAATGTGTTTATGAGGAACACTACTGCAGGCATGGTCATTAAAACTAGATGAAAAACCTATATATATATAAAAATGTCATTAATTTTCTATTAAACTCTCATTAAATAGCAAGTTCATGTGTTATTAATGTAAATTTAATGACTTTTTATGGAAAAATAATGATTCATGCATGCAGTAGTTAAGTTTATTTCTCATTGTAAAATTTCTTTTATCTACGACGATTTAAAAGCGAACAAAATAGGACTTCATTAACAGAATATATGATGTGAAGTTCATCAGTGTCGTTGATAATAGAACCCGCTTAGCATCTTGAATAAATGACACATCATGATCACAAGAGTAAAAATAGTAAATAAGTACCTATCTTTATTGTTCACTCATTAAAACTCCAAGAAAAGAATGCTTCACTTGCAACCACTTATTGGGGCTGAAAAAATGAGTTAAAAAGTAAACCATGTTATGCTGCCTAAAGTTTCTAGCAAAATATTGGCAGTATAAAGGAGTTCAATATATAGAGGGAGATCTGCGGAGAAATTGTTAGGAAAAAGAGACTTCCTGATAAATTGGCATTGCTTGAAGTGGCACATGAAATAAGGGCATTATAAATTTTAAGATATTTTGTTTAAGAAGTCTTGGGCTTAATGCATAAGTTTAAAGGTCAAAGGTCAGCTTGATGTCTTCTAAAAAATTAAACCAGAGATTTCTGATTTTTTTGTGAAAATCTGAAAAATTGAAATAACAGAAAGAGAAAGTTCCATATTTAGTATACTGTGAATCACTAATTTTCATGATTTTTTTTTTTTTCGATGACTTCGTTGATAATCTTTATCCACGAATTCATAGGTCAATGAAGGAATTACAAGTTTGATATAAAGCAATTCTCCGTAATCCATGAATTCATGTACACGCCAAATGGTGTTTTGTAAGAAAACCACGAAATTTGGGCCCACAAAAATATCTGATTTCTCAGTAAAGGACAGGTACAAAATGAGTATTATGAGGGATAGGTTTATGATGTCCTGTCTTTTGTGTACAGTATCATTATATGTTGTATGAAAGTTTGACTTGGTACACAAACAAATGTGTGTTCACAGAGTAAGTTGGAGGAGAGCGTTACAGAGAAGAAGTCGATGGAACAAGACTTAAACCAGCAACTCGCTGACCTTCGGGCTAAACTGGCCCAGACAGTGACCGACAAGGAGAGCACGGAGGAAAGGCTGACCGGGGACATCAACTCCATTCACTCAACGATGCTAGGTACGTACGGGCCTTGTAATAGGGGTTGACCTTATCAAGGTCAGGCTTTGCTTCTGGAAATTATTTCTTTTAAAAGTAGATAAACTTTCTACAGGGAGATATAGCCTTGAGCAGTATAGCACTCATTAAATTGTGACGTCATAAAAAGGTGACAGCGAACATTAATACGCCAATATGCTTTTTGTTTACAAATATGACTATTGTTGGTTGAGTTGTGACTGAAATAATAGGATGGCAGAAAGATAATCATCCCCTACCTTGAGGGTGTAACAGAAAAACCTCTAACCCTAAGGGTGATTATTTGGTTGTCTAACCCTCTGCAGAGCCTCGGCTTTGACATCCAAATAAATCATCACTCGGATTGGAGATATCTCTGTCACACCCTTGAGGTAGGAGAAGATTCTATTAGTCATTTCATATTTGTACAAGAAATATTTTCTTACAGTAAATCATTTTTGTTACCATTTTATGTGTGAGTTCAAGTGATATGTAACGCCTATGTTTTTAAAACCACTATTGGGAAAAACTTAATGACACTCTACTTTTAAGCAAATGATGCCGTAATTAACTTATGTGTTCTGATGTTGAAATCAGAATGATATCAATATGTGACTTCAAGTTACTTATAAATCTTTTCCTATTTTTATGGTAACTGTTGAATTATATTTCTCTGGGAATATGATCCAGGAGATGCATTTTTCTTCTTTCTGAAAATTTCTAAAAATCTGAAAATTTGAAATAACAAAAAGAGAAAGTTCCATATTTAGTATACTGTTAACCACTAATTTTCATGAGCTTTTTTTTATTTTCGATGACTTTGTTGATAATCTTCATCCACGAATTCATAGGACAACGAAGAAATTAGAAGTTTGATATAAACCAATTCTCCACTTGAGTGGGTACTTGTAATCTATGAAATCATGTGCCCACCAAATGATGTTTTGTAAGAAAACCACGAAATTTGGACCCACGAAAATATCTTATTTCTCAGTAAACGACAGGTACAAAATGAGTATTATGAGGATAGGTATATGATGTCCTGTCTTTTGTGTACAGTATCATTATATGTTGTATGAAAGTTTGACTTTATACACAAACAATGTACATATTAAACGTTTCACAACGTTTCAAGACCGACTGGTCCCTTTGTCAAGCTATGACGGAGTCAAAGGGACCAGTTGCTCTTGAAATGTAGGGACATGTTTAATACATACATAGTTGTTTGTGTATAAAGTGAGACTTTGAAATTACATATTTCCAAACTGATGAATCTTATTGAAAATGTTATGTGTTGTATTTGACAGCAAAGGCTGTGGAAGAAGGCAGAGGGTTCATACAAGATGCACTAGACCAATTTGAAAATCCAACACACATTGCTGTCAAGTGTACTGCAGGTAGGGTAGCAAGAGTTATCTTTCCCTTGTTTTCTCTCTCTCTCTTCAATTTTCTGAAAGTACACCACCATAGCTGTCAACCCTCATTAGGAGGGAGACTACCTCATTTTTATGCCCCCGCCATAAAGTGTGGGGGAGGGGGGGGGGGGCATATAGTGTTGCCCATGTCTGTCCCGTCCTGTCCATGAGTTGGGGGGGGGGCATTTATGTCTTACAGACATTTTCTAGTTGACCAAATTTAACCAATCTCCCTCGAAACTCCCTCATTCAAGTCCAAATTCACACAATCTCAAAATCTACATCCTGTGGTCACATGATCTCCTCGTTACTGCAGGATGTGTGTAATGATCATAACAAGTGTGTCGGAATCAAACGAATGCTTTTAGGAATTATTTCGCTACAGAAGAAGGGAAAGATAAATTGAGCAAAGCAGTTTCAGGTGCGTTTCATTTACTCTCTCTCCCTATAATTTGAAATGTGGAATGAGGGAGATCTCCCTCCTAGGAGGTTTCAGAGGTTGACACCTTTGCACCACTTGTAAGAAACACCTTTAATCTACTAAGTGTGTGAAAAGTTTCAAATTCAAAAGTTAATTTACAGGGACTCGTAATGATCTTCTGAAGAAAGAAATGCAATAACGTTTGTAAAATTTTGAATTTCTTGAAAATGGTATTCTGAATGTTTGTGTTTATAGCTCGATAATCTAAAGAGGCTTTGAACATCTGATCAATCTAGATCCATATTAGCTAACAAACACTCATGAATCTGACTTTGTGAATGAAAAACTGTCCTTGTATCATGACTTTTTCAGCAATGTTAATGCTGGGGAAGGTAGAAATAGTGGAGAAGTTACAATAAAAAAAAAATCAATTTGAGAAAAATGTCAACATTTCAGAACTCTTTTACTGCCATTAAGGATCCGCGTACCAGTGCGAAAAACGATGATTAAATAATAGCGAAAACTATTTTTTTTGGCATGCCTATGGCTTTGATAAATCATTTCTGAAGAGAAAACCAAATCTTTCGGGATTTTTATGAAAAATAATTCAGACACAAGAAACGTAATATAATTAACAATTGTACCGTGTTCTGGGTGTAAAAACTCGTGTGGCTGGACTGGGATTTGAACCCCGGACTACAGATTGTTATACATATTATGATTCTAATCGATTGCACTACCTGGTCATCGGAAATTACCCTGCCTAAAACTGTACTACAGTTAAATCCAAACAGAAGTTAAGGGGAGGTGACTTTATATAGGAAAAACCCCAGTGGGACAGGGAATTGTGTGGGAACATTGATCAATTTTTCCTGTAGCTCTGAAGATATATATAGAGTTCTTCTGACCTTGATAATTAGGTAAAGATACAGGTGAACTCTGCTGTAATTTACCGTAACAATTTGTTTTCTGTCCAGAATTCCTCCTGATGCGGGCAGAGCCTGTACTTACCTGTCTGGACAGCCTGAAGAATGCACACAGTATCTACAGTATCGACAAGAAGGGTTCGTAAAATTAAACGTTCGTGCATCTCGCTTTTTAAGGTGCAGTCATAATTTCTTTTTTGTTCACAACAATAACTTTTATATCGGTGATACAATGTACCTGTATTAATGCATTTCTGTGCGTCCTATTTCAGACCTGGAGGCCCTGGTGAAATCCATCACATCATACTCTCATCACATGGGTGACTGTGTGCTGCACGGCATCGCCACCACCCACTCCGCCCAGCTGGAGGCTGGGGAAGGTAAGAGTAATAAAATCTCATTTCTTACAACACTACACGGCATTGCCACCACCCACTCCGCCCAGCTGGAGGCCAGGGCAGGTAAGAATAATATAATCTCATTTCTTACAACACTACATGGCATTGCCACCACCCACTCCGCCCAGCTGGAGGCCGGGGAAGGTAAGAATAATAAACTCTCATTTCTTACAACACTACACTACAAGACATCGCCGCCACCTACTCCGCCCAGCTGGAGGCCGGGGAAGGTAAGAATAATAAACTCTCATTTCTTACAACACTACACTACAAGGCATCGCCACCACCTACTCCGCCCAGCTGGAGGCCGGGGAAGGTAAGAATAATAAAATCTCATTTCTTACAACACTACATGGCATTGCCACCACCCACTCCGCCCAGCTGGAGGCCGGGAAGGTAAGAATAATATAATCTCATTTCTCACAACACTACACTACACGACATTGCCACCACCCACTCCGCCCAGCTGGAGACCGGGGAAGGTAAGAATAATATAATCTCATTTCTCACAACACTACACTACACGGCATTGCCACCAACCACTCCGCCCAGCTGGAGGCCGGGGAAGGTAAGAATAATATAATCTCATTTCTCACAACACTACACTACACGACATTGCCACCACCCACTCCGCCCAGCTGGAGGCCGGGGAAGGTAAGAATAATATAATCTCATTTCTCACAACACTACACTACACGGCATTGCCACCAACCACTCCGCCCAGCTGGAGGCCGGGGAAGGTAAGAATAATATAATCTCATTTCTCACAACACTACACTACACGACATTGCCACCACCCACTCCGCCCAGCTGGAGGCCGGGGAAGGTAAGAATAATATAATCTCATTTCTCACAACACTACACTACACGGCATTGCCACCAACCACTCCGCCCAGCTGGAGGCCGGGGAAGGTAAGAGTAATAAAATCTTATTTCTTCCAACACTACACTATACCTCATAGCCACCATCCACTCTGCCCAGCTGGAGGCTGGAGAAGGTAAGAGTAATAAAATCTAGTTTCTTCCAACACTACACTATACCTCATAGCCACCATCCACTCCGCCTAGCTGGAGGCCGGGGAAGGTAAAAATAATATAATCTCATTTCTTCCAACACTACTACTTACATTACACAGCATCCCTACGACCCACTTCAGGGATATTGAGACAGTAGGGGAGAGTTAAAATGATAAAATTTTATTTCTCCAATAACTGTACAGCTGGCGGTCAGGAGGATAAGAATTATAAAATCTCATTTCTTCCATTACTGTGTATACATGCTACGTCCAGCTGGAGGCTGATGGTGTAAGAATCATAGAATTTCATTTCTTTCGTTACTGTGTATACATGCTCCGTCCAGCTGGAGGCTGAGAGTGTAGGAAACATTAAATATCATTTCTTACACTATTATTATACTAAACGATGTCACCATTTCTCACTCCCCTCAGCTGGAGGCCATGTGGTGTATAAGACAAAGAATTTCATTTCTCCCATTTTAAGGATCCCCGTACCACTGCCAAAAACTGTAACTGCCCACTGGAAACTTCGACAAGACTTATAGCTTTGATAAATCATTTCTGAAAAAAACCCATTACCTTTCAGGCTTTATGAGAAATAGTAAAAATGAAATAAACAAAACACGATCATCAACTGTTTTTTGTTGTGAGTGTAAAAATTTGGCACGGCTAGACTGGGATTCGAACCCTGGACTTCAGGTAACTGGTTGTTATATTACCTCTTAAACCGATTGAACTATATAAAGCCAACGGAATTTAAGGGGAGGTAACTGTGTTCACGAAAAAACACAGTGCAGTGGTACAGGGATCCTTAACCCTTTCAACCCTATGTATCTTTAGTAGACTCTACCATGCATTGATCTGGATGAGTCCATTATGGTCTACAGTGGTGAAAAGGTTAAACCATTTACCCCTAAAATTTCATAATGAACTATTCCAACCTTTGAATTGGAAGAGTTCAAATCTTTCTTTAGGGGTAAATCAGTTAATTAGACACTAGCTTATTCCTGAGGCATCGACTAAACAGACAAGGTTATCGTTAAACATATTTTATTACCTGCAGATGTGTTTGGTGCATTTTGATTGGGTAATGCACTGGGTACATTACCTCGAACCTTGGAAATTTGTGGAAATTGATTTTAAATATTCTATATATTTCCTTTCTTTTAGAACTTGGAAATGCCTGCAGAGAAGCAGGTGAGATGGGTCTCAAACTGCTGGACGCCATTGAAGCAGGTACGTTAAATCCTGTTGTACAGATACAGGAAAGATTAAAAAAAATACAGGAAAAAACTGTAAAATTTATGACTGAAGATACTTTGCGACAGTTTCTGTTATGTTGCAGTGATTTTCCAAACCTTCCCTTCAGTTTAACTTTAGAAGTCTGCTTCAATTTTGAAGAACAAATAAAATCAGGTTTTGCACACTTTTAAACTTTTTATACACCTGTCGAAAGAAGAGTCGTATTATGTTATGAGGTGGGTGGCCGGTCGACGACGCACACAGCGTCCACTTGATATCTAGAGTAATTTTCAACAAATTAACTTCAAACTTCATGTGGAGTTCAATTACCATTCAAGCTGGAACAAGTTTGATAACCACCATTATCTGACTGTATTTTACTGAGTTATGCCCCTTTAATCAATTGCTGAAACGGTGTCCGCTCGATAAAAAAAAGTAATTTTCAACATATGAACTTAAAACTTCATGGGAAGGTTAATTAGTACGAAAGCTCAGTAATTCAACTGGTAAGGGGTGTCTTATGGGTTTTTTTGCGGTAAACTTGCTAAAATGCTGCATTTATTTAATGTTCGAAAAATTGCTGTAAAATTCTTGATCAGTAATTTTGTAAAGCGGTGAACTGAATAGGTTATTAAAGGTCTTTCTCATAACTGGAAAGAGGAGTAGTAGTATTATAGCAAAAATATTCAAAATTTTCCATAAAAGTCATGGGTGGTATCTGTGCATTATAAAGCATAAATAAATGATGATGTGATCTTGAAGGCTGAATTTTCAGATTAACTATAAGTAACTCATTCACCCCTGAAGACACATTTGAACTCTTCCAATTCAAAGGATGGCATAGTTCATTATGAAATTTCAGGGATGAATGAGTTAAAAGATTTGTCCACCGTTTTTATCAACGATACATATTATCTTATATCAGCAGTTTCTTTACTGGACCAAAGTGTTTCATTTTCGTTATTGGTAACATTTATTCCTCATGATAATACATGTATTGATGGTTCAATGTTGTAAACATGTATTTTTTTGTTGACAGGAGGATTTGTCAACACAGAGGTGGATCAGACGGCGCAGAGCGTGAAGAAACTGATGCACCTCGCCGAGGCTCTCGTCCCAAAGATGGTGGATATCAAGGAGGGAGAAATCGGTGACTTGGTGGAGAACGAAATGAGTGCCACTCACTCGGCAATCGAGCAGGCCGCTCAGAGGATCGAGGTTCGTCTAAAGTTTTAGCAGTGTTAAATTTTTGCGTGAAAAGCTAAGAAAAAATAGAGATTGAAGAAGGTTTCATACCCGGGAAATATTAAAAAAAAAACCTGTGCAAGAATTATTATTTTGAAATACAGACAAATTATTACAAAATTTACACAGCATTCAATATAAGCATCTTCCTTTACGATTATTGATACATTCCGTATAACTTCATGAGACATTTGTTTACATTTCATGTCTTTAATGCTACAGGAAATGCTTCACAAGAACAGGTCTGATAACTCCGGCGTGGAACTTCAGGTCAACGAAGGAATATTGGACTCTTGTACGGGACTCATGGAGGTACGTCAGAAAGTTCATCCAAAACTATTTTCAGCAAAAAGGTTTTTTTACAAACTCTGATAACTTGACTCCCGCATTTTAATTATCACAGTTGTTTATAACTAACTTTGATTTACTGATTGTTTTTCTCCCTTTATTTTGCGTTTATTTTTTGTGTTTGACAAATGAGGTTTGATTGTGTAGAACATTAAATATTAAATAAAAAAGGTTCTTGTGTTCAAGGTTTAATGTTAACATAACATTTCGTCAATAAAAATATTGAAATTCGTTGAAAAGGTTTTAACTGGAGTCAGTTCCGGTGTACAGATGTTGGTCATGATTCATGAGTTAGTAGAGATAAAAATTTGATATATGTGTATATTGAATTCGATAAATTCCAAAAATGAATTGCGGTGAAGCCGTTTTTTAAACCGACGGGATTCGGGAAAAACTTATATTACTGTTAGACAGCTGGGCTGCAGTGGCCAAGTGGTTAAGGCGTCTGACATTCTGCTACCACTAGCCCTCCACCACCGGGTCGCGGTTTGAGGCCTACGCGGGGCAGTCGCCAGGTACTGACCGTAGGTCGGTTGCTTTTCTCCGGGAACTCCGGCTTTGGTCCACCACCGAAACCTGGCACCTCCTTCAATAACCATAGCTGTTAAAAGGATGTAAATCACAAACAAACTAAAATGTTAGACCGCAATGCTTGAGACACTTGCGTTCTGGCGAGCTGGTTTACAATAAGAAATGTGTAGAATCTGATTCTCCATTTTGATATATATAAGACATTTAAAATTTTCCTGTGGCGAAAAAACTGTTGCATAAACATTGTGGACACCAGCCTGTGGAGGTTTAAGAACTGAGTTGTTCAAAGCTAGGGGCCTGTTTGTTTATGTAAATATATATAAAGTATTTCAGAATGCCAGTGTTTATGAGCTCTGGGTCCAACCCTCCAAACACTGAAGGTGTCCGCAGGAGGGCTCTCAATCACGAAACCTCTTTCATTCGTAAATTTTCTACAAAAAACATAAATATATATAAAAAAAAAANACCTGGAAATTTTCGGTGCAGTTTAATGTTCACCTTTTGCCCACTGTAATGAAGGCGAATTGATCACGACAGCGAACTTTTGTACACAACATCATAGTAATGAAATATAAAGGACAAAGTTAACACTGGGTGAATATGGGTTATTCTGGCAAAGGGCAAAACTTTTACTGAGCGAAAATTTCCTAGAATGCAGTATTACAACTTCACATTTTTTCCTTGTTTCAAGGTCATTATGATATTAGCTAGGTAGATGAAGTTTTTAAAATCATTTTTAGAATCAATATTTCCTTTTCTTCACACAGGCTATCAAGATTCTGCTATCCAAGTCCCACGACCTACAGAAAGAAATAGTGTCTCAAGGACGAGTAAGTTTTCACAATGAAAATTGTAAAAATGATCATTGATTCTGATTTGCTGTAGCTTATACCCCAGATTCTGTCAAAATATTTCACGATAAAATCCAATGTTTCGATGCATTATGAGGAATGAGATAATGGAGAAATAACGTATTAATTATGAAGGGAAACATGAAATGACTATCAGTGCAGGGTTTGAAAATGCCCCTAAACCATCATTTTGCATGAAATAGAGAACTTTTGTGGTGAAAGAGAGAGGATGTGGCTCTGCCAATGATTACTGATTACCCTGGTATGCAAATTTAAAGGTTTATGAATAATAAAAAAAACCAATGCACTTTATCAGTAAGATTTTATGTTCTTAAATTCCAGGGAACATCGTCTAGTAAAGAATTTTACAAGAAGAATCATAGATGGACGGAAGGTTTATTATCAGCAGCTAAAGCTGTAGGCTTTGGTGCTACAACTCTCATGTAAGATCTCATAAATATTCATGAACAAAATTAATCATTTATGCAAAGTCTTAAGAATAATCATTTTTTTTCAAATTCTCATGAATATTCAAATATTTTTAATTAACTTATGATGTAACGAATAATCTCAAGCAGGTAAGTTTTCATGACTATTTATTTTATCTCTATTATTAAAGTTTGATAATTATTCATATTTTTGAAATTGTCTTTCGTGGGAAAATCTCATAAAATATCTTTGAATGCACAGGATTTGATTTAACAGTTCTGATATATGAAAGCTTTCTTTTTTAATCTCCAGGGAAGCTGCTGACAAAGTTGTGAAGGGGGAGGGGAAATTTGAGGAACTCATTGTTTGCTCAAACGAGATCACCGCCAGTACGGCACAGCTTGTCGTCGCGTCCAAGGTCAAGGCCGACCGTCGCAGTGAGAAGCTCAAGGCTTTGTCGGAGGCCTCCAAAAGGGTTTCTTCATCCACAGGCAAAGTAGTGGGTTCAGCACGGGAAGGGTCACAGAGGATAGAGGAACAGAGTAAGTACGACGTTATGTTATTGGTATTGTCTATTAGGACTCAGCTGTATTTATGTTTATTTTATGTAAATATGAGAAAAATTGACCATGGTTTCGAATATCTTTGATTTGATTTGATTTTATTCAATTCAAAAAAAAAAAATCCATGCATTTAGGTTAACATAAGTTAATGTAAAGCCCTGCTTTCAAGTATTTCATGTAAATTCATTTATTCAAAAAATATTGATACATTTTTGCAAATATTTCTTTACAGTGTAACTGTTAAAATCAGAAAACAGTAGTGATTTATTACACCATTTTCCAACTTTTGTCTTGTAAATTCCATTTTGCCATACCTTTGTAAATCTTTCACAAATCCTTCTTTCTGAAACGAATCCCTGGGAGGGGGGGGGGGATGTTGATTCCAATTTTATAATGAAGAACCTTCATAACATTATAACATCTTCATCTTTTCACTGTAATTTTTCATAACTGATGATATTTATAAAATACCAAAGACAAATAAGTTGATATAAGACCTTTCAAAGGGTTTTGTTCTAAGAATAAACAAAAATTTGAAAAACCGTCGGGGAAGCCATCGTCTCAACACTGATACTGATTTTGTTAGGGGAAAGGGTTCGGTGAAGGGGTTAAGTCTTTGGTAATATTGTTGCTGTATTTATATGCTAGTTTCATCCTTGGGATTATTTGTTATATTCTGCAGGTCTGATGGACTTTTCCAAGCTCACACTACATCAGACAAAGAAGAACGAGATGCAGTCCCAGGTAAATTTCCTTTGTGTCATCAGTAAATTTCAGAAAGTTAATCTGTCGAAAGTAAAAGACAGCATTCAAAACAGGTATTAAGAGATGGTGTAGGTTTTTGTGTTGACGAAAAATAATAACGGTTGATATTATGTTAAATTTTCCCGTCATGATGAGCACGTGGAGAATATGTAAAATAACGTTCGTCAGTGGGTTTTTATGTTCTTCTATTTATCATAACTTTCATTACTTCATTTATGCAGTGGTTATATATGAGAAAAAAATGAACAAGTCTTTGTTTCAGAATGACGGAGAAGGTCAAGGTCACCTAATCTTTGTCATCAGTCTATAGTGACTTTATTTCCTACTGTAACTGAGTTTAATAAAAACTTCCTCCAGTTGTGAGAATATTTTAAGCAAGCTACTTTGAACAAGTTCTGTTTCAGCATGTTATAACCGTAGCGTAACCGATAATTTTGATCACAAAGTTATTTCTGTTAATTTTGTCACCCTGGAAAAATAGTGCTTGACCTACCGACTCAGCAAGGAGAATTTCTCTTAAGCTCATTCTGTAAAACATAAGGCTTGAACACCAGAGGTCCCAGGTTCGATTCCTAGCGGTAGGATTGAAAATACTATTTTCCTGTTGCATTGGCGCCCATGTAGGGATCTGGGAAATACTGTAAAAATACTAAGCGATCGCTGTGACCCCCGTTAAAACCCAGGACAAGTTCTTTCTGGTGGGGGTATATGTCACCCTGGTAAAATTCTAGCTGCTTCCTTCCATTTCGGCCAGGGAGAATTTCTGTTTAGCTCATAGGATAGAGCGTTAGACTAGTAAACTAGTGGACTCCTAGCGTAGTAAACCAGAGGTCCTGGGTTGGACACCTAGCATAGTAAACTAGAGGTCCTGGGTTGGACTCCTAGCGTAGTAAACCAGAGGTCCTGGGTTGGACTCCTAGCATAGTAAACCAGAGGTCCTGGGTTGGACTCCTAATGTAGCAAACCAGAGGTCCTGGGTTGGACTCCTAGCGTAGTAAACCAGAGGTCCTGGGTTGGACTCCTAGCATAGTAAACCAGAGGTCCTGGGTTGGACTCCTAGCGTAATAAACCAGCGGTCCTGGGTTGGACTCCTAGCATAGTAAACCAGAGGTCCTGGGTTGGACTCCAAGCAGAAGCAATGAAAAAATAATGACATCTGTTACATTTGCAATGCATTGTTTTCTTTCTGTTTTCAAGTATAAAATATTTGGAAAGTGATTGGTTGTTCCAGGGGAATATGCTATATTAATTTATTGAAGCAAAAATAATTATGCATAAAAAGTTCAGTTAAGGTATTGAATCAAGAAGAAACTTTCAATTTCAATAAAAAAAACACCAAACATTTTAAGGTTCAGAATTTCATGTTAAAAAGGCATCTGCTACATGTGGATTATGAAAAAAGATATAATTACTTACATTCTACTGTGTTTCAGGTGCGATTGCTGGAGCTTGAGAAAGAGTTGGAGCAGGAAAGATTAAAATTATCAGAGCTGAGGAGACAACATTACCAGCTGGCAGGGGAGAGTGAAGGCTGGGAAGTGGGACAGGTAAGAGGCGTGGATACATAAAAAAGGGCGAGTGGCTTATTATGTTAATGAGGGTATGACAATACCAGCTGGCAGGGGAGAGTAAAGGATGGGAAAGGAGACAAGGAGGAGGCGTGGCAACATATATGTGTGGGTGTGGCTAAATATGTTAAGGAAAGTGTAAATGATGTAAATGTAGTGTGTAATGGTGTTATGGTGTTTTCTCTTACAGTGATATATTAATGTGTGTTATGGGTTATGTTGTATTAAAACAGAAATTCATTTGGTTTGTCATTCGCTCATTTGTTTATTTATTTATTCATTCATTCATTCATTCGTTTAAAAATTTTGTTTCTGTTATACATTCATTGATCATTTTTGATATTTTTTTTATTAAATCACATATCTTGGAACTTTTGAATTAAGTTTTCCTTTTGAATTAGTGTTGCCAGCAGTTTTAAGTGTTAATATTATATACCGAATATCAGTGTGTGCTTAAATATATTATGGCTAGTGTCAGTGTTCTTATCGGCAGTGGTCTTACATGTACAATGTTTTACAGGGACCGTTTCTTACTAGAACGGTAAGTTTGTGACGAATGCATGAGCAAGCCTCTGTGTTCCAACAAACAAAATGATATACAGAATCCAACGTATATATATTAGATCCATCAATTAGGTTGTATGCTGATTTCTTGTGTGTCAAAATTATTCCAGTCATATTTTACTGTACAAATAACAAAGTATGCATCCTTTGAAAAAAAACTCATATCTAAATGTTTTACGCAGAATATTTCACTACATTGCGAAAGAAAATCCCCAACCCCTGTCGTAAGATTCTCCAATGTCCGAACTTAATGCATGACTTTGATTTGACATTTAGGAACCTTAGTCCTAGGGTTGAGATTTCTTTATTTGTCACCCTCAAGGTTTAGCTAGGAATGAAAGTTTTCTCTTTCACACTTACGCCGTCGAAAATGTTAAGTGTACAACAACACATAGGTGATATACATGAATCAACTCCTGTCTCAGACACTTTGCATAATGGAATTCTCCAGTGTTAAGTCTTCAGTGGAACAGGGATTCTTAAAATCAATTTATTAAATTCTGGTGATATTCAAAAGTAAATACATTAGGGTGAAAAAGTCAGGAATCTCGCTCAAAAATAGTTAACATTGGCTAGTGGAATTCGTTATGTGTAAAATGGGTCACCATGGTAATTATAAATTTCAGACTTGTACCCTTTTTCCAAACGTTACTATTATAATGATAGTTTTTAGTGAACGTTTAGTATAAAAACACTCCCCCTTGAGTACATAACATGTCTATTCACTAAATCCTTTTTGAAAAAAAGTATAATCAGATGATATGCTGATGCAAGCTCAGTTGGAGCAGTATTTGATGGATAAAATCTTTTCAGATAAAATTGAATTTAAACGATTTTCTTATCTACCATGATCAATATTTATGAGAAAATATGTGTAATGTGTGTTTGTGATTTGGCTGTTTCAATTTCGGAGGAAGCTATCTACTTCTGTTTTCATGTTCATATTAATGTAATAAGATCTTTCCATTTATCATCAGATTAGCTATTTTATTCACAAATCATGGTTGATTAAGTTCATGTTCGTCTATTTTGTTGCTGCCATCATGTTTTCTTTATGTTTCTTTAAAAATCTCATGGATTGGTTGTTGATTTTTACATACTGCATTGTAATCAAACGTCTATTTCCCTGATGTCATAAAGCTAGGTGTCGATTTCATGTGATACAGATTGATTGTGTGAAATCAATTTCACCTTGTGTGATTGATATTTGCTGTTGATTTCACATGCTGCAGTTTGATTGGCTGTTGATTTCACATGCTGCAGTTTGATTGGGTGAATAAAATTTCACACACAATGGAATTATTATGATAACATTTTGCTGTGATTTGATTGGCTGTAACATTTCACTCCGCTACACAGGACTCGGAGGAAGCTGGATCAGGCGACACCCCTCATGATGCTGTGAGTCACTGTCTGTGTTTTAACCACCGCACCGTGTGTTTACGTTTTCCTCCTCAATGTTGTAAACCATTTATTATCACGTAGCCTGCGCATTAACACTCACACAGTGCCTAATTAGCTCAATGTACTATTTTGAAAACTCAGATTCTTCAAAAAAAAATCAAAAAATTTGGAAACAAAAAAAAAAGGGTTCCGATTACAGAGCAAATAGAAGGGTGTCTACCAAGTACATGTACATGCTTTGAAACAGGATATATAGGAATTTGTAAACTATATAAATGAAAATTAACATTATCAGAGAAGCATGGTAAATATATTGTGATAATTCCTCAAAGCTCATATCAAATATTAAAATAATATTGTCGCTAAACACTTTATGGCTTTCGTTCCTTCTAGCTTTGCTTTTGGAACTCTCCTCTGTGGAAACCATAAACTAATTTACATGCTAAAATTAAAAATTAAAAAAATAAGATCAGGGAGTACAAAGTGTTCTATTTCATACTGATAGAGTTAATTTTGATTTTGAATTTCAATGCAAGCTCAAGGCTGACATCAATTTTTTAATGTTTTTTTGAGTACCAAGGTAATACCTATTTATTTTTAATCCCTGGCAGAAATTTCACCATTACTGATAATTTTTGTTTAAGTTCTATGATAGGTTAACAGTGTTGGGAGGGGGTTAAGTAAAACAAATATTTTTCAGACACAAAAAAAATAAGGATTGAGGCACTTTCATGACTTAAATGACTAAACCTCATTGTTTCTGATTGTTGTCACTCCAAGCCTTCACTATGTAATGTCAAATCTTACCTTCACAAAACCAACACCTATTCACTGCAATAGAGTACTAATATCTTGCTACAGATAATTAATTCATTGGTTGAAATATTTGTATACGCCCGTCGAATGACAGGATGTATTATGTTATCAACTGTTATTTAGAAAACAAAAGCTTTGATCATTGACAAAATAATTGGAGAATTTGTTTAAATGACTCTAAAGAGCTCAAAAGCCACTATTTCTTTAATCCTTGATTGCTTTTTCACAATTTTCGAAAATAATACATTTCTAAAATTGAGCTTTTGAGTTTTCAAAATAGTCCACTGTGGAAACTTAAGTTAAAGCTGTTCAAGAAAGCTTTCAAACCCAGACTTAGCAAAATTTCTATAAATATTTTTTTTAAATCTAGAAATATTGTTAAAGATAATCACAGATAACAAAATTATCTAACTTAGATTTGATTTGCAGAATGTACTTAACAGTTTAGAATAGATATGCGCTGATTTCTTAAAAAAAAAAGAAGAAGAAAAAAAAAAGGGGATTCATGAAATTAAGAGATGTAGATTACGTATATTCATACTGTATATTAGATACGGACAGAAAAACACTCAATTTTCTCTAATTAAAAAGAAATCTAGAGCAACACAAATTATTTTCAAATGTAATAATACAACTGTTCAGACATCAGCAAATACACTTTTTCATTGACAAAAAAGTCTGATATGTTTTTTTGGGGAAATCGGGGCGAGACTTTTTTTCATCTTCTTGTTACAATATTATTTAACAAATATGAATGGATTAACTTGGTTGAGAAGAAACATTTTCTTTCTTAAAACTATAATATTAACATTTTTTCTATGTAAACAAATTACGACTTTATGATTTACAGGAGGGGAAGTAACTCTGTGATATGCTCCTCAACCAAGTTTTTCTATTTCGCTGAGCTAGATCCTCTAAACATTTACTTTCCAGTATCCATTTATGTTTTTAGCACATTTAATTCAAAATAAAAAAAAATGTTTGATAAGCTTTTACTGTTCAGAGAAATTGTCTCACATCTTGAACCATTACCTCACATGAAATTGTTCAAATTGAACTTTATAGAAAAAAACTGTAGTTACCTCGTCCATCTGTCCATCATTTTAATAGACAAAAAGTTATTGACCTTTTAATTCAGAAAACTTGTCCCTCACCATTTTCAGTTTTTGTTAACAAATTCCCTTGAAACCTGAAAAAAATTTAACACACCAACTTTTACTAGAATTTCCTCATGATTTTTTTTAAGGACCAGATCTTGTACATGTATATGAATGATTGGGTTTGGTGATTTTAATTTATTAATTTATTAGTTTTCATTTGTCTTCGTGCATCAGTTTTATTGTAATGGTACATTATGTTTTAATTACAGGAATAAAACATCAGGATAGAGGCATGTCAAACTGTAAGAACCTCCCAATTTAGCTTGTTTTTTTTCTCAAATCAACACAGACTATATTTGTTTCGTGGACAGGTTGTTATCTTTATTTTGGCACATTTGGACTTTTTTATACTTTGTAACATTCTATTCTGAATTGAAGGAAATTAGGTGTGACCTGCACCTTGATTTGTTCTACATATCAACATCGTTTCACAATTATTATTTTTTAGCTCACCTGGTCCAAAGGACCAAGGTGAGCTTATGCCATACCGTGGCGTCCGTCATCCACCCGTCCATCCGTCAACAATTTCTTTAAACAACTTCTTCTTCTTAACCACTGATTGGAATTTAACTAAATTTGACTGGAAGCATCCCTAGGTGGTGGGGATTCAAAATTGTACAAATGGTGGGGCTGACCCCCCAGGGGGCTGAGGGGCGGGGCAATTTGGCTAAACTGCTTTAAGCAACTTTTTCTCTGGAACTAAGTGGTTGATATCAATTAAAGTCTAATATGAAATATTAGGCAGGTTTGCACAGCATAGAAGGGGTCTGCCTTTCATCTGCTTTCATCTCATTATAAGTAAACATCTGAGCAGATGTAGTATAGATTGTATATATGGTCCATCGGTTCCCTATCAACATACCTATCAGTTCACAGGACCATCTGGGTGCTAGCCGGTCTTATCACAAGACCTCTCCCCTATTAGCAGGTCATGATCACTGGTCATAGAAAGGACATGCATCCAACCAATTAGTAATGTAGGGGTCAAGATAATTCTTATCTCAAGCTCAGCCAGCCGGGCATTTTGACCTCCCATAACACCACTGTCCTGACAGCAATACAGCAGACAAGGGTCTCCTCTCCCTACCTAATTATTCTTATCTCAAGCCCAGCCAGCTGGGCATTCTGAACTTCCATAACCTCGCTGTCCTGACAGCAATACAGTAAACAGAGGGTCTCCCCTCTTTGCCTAATTTACATGTGCTATATTGGGTATTGGTTCCTTAGTGATAAGGGAAAGAGTATGAGATCCAATCCTAGGACCTAGCGTGGTCACATGACAAGTGCTCTTTGTTCTAACAGTTCTAGCCAACTGCCCAGTTGTTTTCTGATTGTCAAGCTATACAGTCATACCATCCTCCTCCCCCACCACCACCTTTATTATGTTTATTGGTTGCCTGTCACTGTATCATTCCTCCCTTGGTTGACCCTCGGTCAAATGAAACAGCTCCACTCTTCACTAGTTGGGCCTATGGCAGTAAACTGTCATCATGTAATAACATGTTACATGGATTATTAATGGTGCCAGTCTGCTGCTATACACCCCAAATCGGTCAATCCAACTCCAGAACCTAGGGTTAGCTGGACTGTATACATCAACTCCATATGGCCCAGGGTAAGACATTAAGTTGAACTCCAGGCCTAAGTGATGTGACTCCCAACTCTAGCCGACTTCCGGACCTTTAAGCGACCAGGCTATGGTTTTCCATGAGCTTCGGGTCAGTCACAGTCCAAGTCCATGTTCGAATCGTGTTGGTGGCCACAGCTTTTCAGCACTCTGCTCTTCCAGCACTACGGGGTCAATAGCTTATCGGCTATTCTCCATCAGGTCCAAGGGAGGTACTGCTACAGGTGATAGGCACCCCTTATCTGCAGACTTGTTAATAAATTCTGAGAATTTATCCTACATTGTTTGTTATTTGTTGTGTAAACCATATTAGACTGGAAGCATCCCTAGGTGGTGGAGATTCAAATTGTACAAATGGTTGGGCTGACCCCCCAGGGGGCTGAGGGGCAGGGCCAAAAAGGGGTAATTTGGCTATATTTTTACAAACGACTTCTTCTGTAGAACTATGCACTGGATATCGATCATATTTAATCAAAAGCATTGATTGGATGCAGGGATTCAAAATTGTGCAAATGGTGGGGCTGACCCCCTATGATAAGGGGTGGGGCCAAAAAAAGTGTAATACGTGGAAATGGTTGAGATCCCCACTCTATAACCATATTTACAATTGCTGAGTATAAGCAGAAGAATGCACATTTGCGTCCAGGATGGCTATAGGGTCTGGCCCCACCCTTGGAAACATAGTCCTGGGCCATAACTTAAAAACGGTTGAGATCCCCACCCTATAACCATGGTATACAATTGCTGAGTATAAGGAGAAGAATGCACATTTGCTTCCTGGATGTCCCTAGGGTCTGGCCCCACCCTTGGAAACATAGTCCTGGGCCATAACTTAAAAACGGTTGAGATCCCCACCCCAAAACTATATACATATACAAATGCTGGGCATAAAGAGACGAATGCAGTCATGATATTAGAATAGACCCTTGGGTCTGACCGAACCCCTAGGGACCTAGTTTCTTAGTCACAGCTTGGAAACAGTTGAGATCCCCGACCTATAACCATATAGACAATTGCTGAGTATAAAGAGATGAATGCACATATGCTTCCAGGATGGCCTTGGGGACTGCCCCACCCTTGGAGACTTAACCCCTGGGTCATAACTTCGAAATGGTTAAGATCCCCACCCCAAAACTATATATACAATTGTTGGGCATAAAGAGACAAATGCAGTCATGATATTAGAATTGACCCCAGGGTTTGCCCCACCCTTGCAGACTTAACCCCTGGGTCATAACTTTGAAACGGTTGAGATCCCCACCCCAAAACTATATATACAAATGCTGGGCAAAAAGAGACAAATGCTGTCATGATATTAGAATTGATCCTGGGGTCTGGTCACAACCATAGGGACCTAGTTTCTGAGTCACAGATTGGAAACAGTTGAGATCCCCACCCCATAACCATACATAAAATTGCTGGGCATGAAAAATTAAATACAGATATATATGCTACAAGGATTGGCCTTGGGGTCTGGCATATTCCCATGGATCTCAATTGGAGGATATTCTGCCATGATTGCTTTGATATCCATGTGAGCGATACAGGCCCTATGGGCCTCTTGTTTAATTCAAGTTGACGCATAACGTTGAAGAACAATAGAACTGTTTTGCATTCTTTCAAAAAATTCCTTCTGACGTTAAAAGTGCCGCTTGTATCAAAAGAAAAGGTGTAATTTAAATAATATGGCTGGCCGTATTACCATGTCATGTTGCCAATTTTACATTTCATGATATTTTTAAAGGAAAATGTCTTAAAACTGGTCCTTGATCAAAACCCTAATCAGTTTGTAATATTACGATATGCTTTAGGTTGTGAGTTCGTAAAAGCATAATTAAACTGAATTAACCAATCACTCCTGCAAAAAGTTAACACTGAAAAGAAACAATTGTCCCAGAGAAACACTAGCTTAATTTTTTCTTCAAAAAGTTTTGAAAAGGATCATTCTTAATAGTTATCTTTGCCCTGAAGAATTTTTTATTATCATTCTTTTTGCAAAAAGGTTGGGAAAATATTGATACAATTACCTTTTTGAAAAAAAAATGTTCTTAGCAATAAAATGAACTATAATGACGTATTTCTTTGAATAATTAATGAAAATCTGCTTTAAAACTGGTCATATTGCTTCATATGTGTATAATGGCTTGACCTTCGATACACAACTTTTTGTCCATAGCTTAGCTAAATAGCTTTGTAATTATATTGTGTATTCAACATTGTCTTTTCGTATACACTTTATGTATGAAATATTTCTCATTCATTTTCTCTTCAAAATATTGATTTCATATAAATGTATATAATTATATATATTTATCATTTATTTTTTGTAAAATGTTAACATCTAAAGGAATCAAATGTTGATTTTCTGGTGAAAGTTGAATTTGAAAAAGACTACATTCTGCATTTTGTGAAAGATGATGGGATTTTTTTTTCTTCTATTTAAGTGTTTTTATTTGCAAAATTTCAAATACATCATCAAAATATTGAACTAGTCAAATTTGAAATAGTTACTACCGGTAGTTTAACAGTATTTTCAAGTCAAATTTGAAAAAGTTACTAGTTTAACAGTATTTTCAAGTCAAATTTGAAATAGTTACTAGTTTAACAGTATTTTCAAGAAAATTATGATGGACATTATACCTTGTTTTGTATTAATTTTAAAACTTAATTAAATTTAAAAAAATGTTTCTACAAATCTTTTTGAAATAATTAGATCAGTTTAAATTAAAATGGTTCCCATTCATAGTTGTTCATATTTTTCTCTACAAAGGAAATCCATTTGTATATGACAGAAGATAGATTTATTATTGCTTATATTTATGACAGTATTTAGTTTTTAATTGCATTTCCTTGTTCTTTCATTCAGAAAATTCTTATTCCTGACGAATTTTTTTTCTCCAGAAACCAAAATATCCAGACAAAATGGGTTCTATGGTATCAATGTTGTGGACTGTTTTCTTGAATATTTGCATCACAACAAATCTTTATTGTGTATAATATACTGTTTGAAAGAAATTTATTTTTCAGTTGGTTTTTGCTTAAGAACTCTTTTGTTTTTGATACAGGATGGATATACTCCGTGGGATCAAGGGTCATTTATGTGACCCCACTGTAGGGTCATCGGTAAGGTCATGTCCGTCTCATAGGCATGGCATGGTGTGATAGATATATGTATGAATTATGTTCTTGTTGAATCTTTGAATACAGGGATTCAATTCAATTAAAAAGTGAATCCCTCGTTTCTCCCTCTCCCTCCCCTATATGAATTTTTTCCGTTACATCTTTCCACCATTATGATCTTTGACAAATTTACAAATTAATGTCCTAAATATTTATTTTTTTATGATTTAAGAACTTGGGCTCCATCCTGTTTGAACAATTCTGAGTTTCTGAATTAGCATTATTGTATAAAACTAAAATATTTATTTTGAGAAAAAGATTATTCAAATCATTCAAAAAGATAAATACTTATTGTTTAAATTGGAGGGGAATGTCTATCAAATGATTAGAAAATGTTTCGTGATTGAGAAAATCACAAAAAACAATGCTCAGAAATTGCATTAGCTTTTTGAACTGACAGAAAAAGAAAAAAAAATATATGCCAGTATTTGCATTCTAAAACTTAAGTTTAATTCGTAGCTTATTTGAAACGAATGTATCGTTGTTTTTTGTGTATTTTGTTATTGAACTGATATTGCGGAACATCACTGCAAAAAAATCATTCAATTGGCCGATTGTTTCAAAGCTAAATATGAAATTCATGTAACACTTCTTGCATTCGTAATGCAATTAGCCTAGCCTATGAATGCAATTTCAATTCCATTTCTTCTTACAAGTATTCATGAACTGCAATATTGTTGTAAATACATGTATGAAGACAGGTGTGAACTTAAAGTTGGGGAGATGAGAGGGAATTTAACCCAAAAATTGTGAAGGAACTTAAACAATGAGAAAAATGTTGAAAAAATAAAAAAAGTAAGAAAAAAAATGGAAAAAGAACAAGTGAAAAAATGTTTGTGCCCACAAAGTGAAATGTTCAAGCAATTGTAATTAATGTTTTATGTTAATGAATTTACCCTTGTGATAATTTTGGAAGGGAATGTTTTTGAAGTACAATTCATAGCATCGTTAACTCATTCACCCCTGAAGACACATTTGAACTCCTCCAATGCAAAGGTTGGAATAGTTCATTATGAAATTTCAGGGGTGAATGAGTAACACGAATACCATCACTGCCATCATCGTGAATTCAGAAGAAGAGTTTAAGCATGACATCAGTTTGTTTACAATCACACCTGGAATAATCCTGTTTGTTACAAGTTAATACTGACTGCATGGTGTTCAACTAAACACAGCTTAGATAAAGCACCAGTGTAATATCAAAGTGTTACTTTCTACACAAACAATGTACAGTTTTAACATGTCACAACATTTCAAGACACAAGACAGACTGGTAACCTATTCGATGCAGTGTGTCTACGCTCTCTATCGATAGGCGAATAATCCCGGGTCGAGTGACATACAAAATACAAAATTTCTTGTAACTGCTAAATTTTCGGAAAAATTAAACTTAGATAACGAGCTAGGTCCATTTACCACAGATTTTTGGTGTACCATGTTAAACCAGGAGAAAAATACAAATTTTAACAAAGGTGGCAGTGAGTTTTGAAACACGTTGAGGATTCTGTTTAATTTTCATGAAATTTTGGATTAACAATTTATTTAGTTGGTCTTGCCCAGTACTTTTAGTTTTTTTAAGTCCCTAAATATTTTAATGGCCTTAATGCATCAGGGATAGATCTTCCAATTTCGTGTATTATTTTGAGAGTTTTTACTGAAGTATGAGTCAAAGATTAATCTACCGGTATCATGATGTGTATGAAACGATGCAAGTATTTTTTATGTCAGTAATCAGTTAATTAATTCACACTAATCAAAAACCGTTACTAATATCGTGATGATGGCTGTTCACGTCAAACCTACAGATATCATCTGTTGTCGAAGCATGGACAACCAGATGCTTTAGGATTTTGTTTTTCAGGAAAGAAGACAAATCTAACATGTTTATAACATTATAAAGTTTAGCATATTAAGGTAAATGGTACCATAGCATCAGTTGTAATTGCAAAGAAGAGTTCTAATCAGATTTCTTTTTTTAACTTGGAGTAGTCTCCCTTTTATATAGAAAATCGAGCAACTAAAAAGAGTGACCTCCCCTGTCAAGTTATTAATAGGTTTTTCGGACCCTAAATTGGACATTAACTTAATTGGTGGAAATGTATAACTATCGATGGCTACACTGGTAAAGTGTAGGCTTTTGTTTCATGCAAAGATTCTGAGTTTGGCAGGTTTTTTATTACTATTTTTTTCAATTTTTTTTTCAAATATTCAAATTTCAAACAACTGTAATTCTGTAGGATGCACTGCAAGATACAAATTTTATGGAATATTTCTCTTAAAAAGGACTCCAACACATTCTACACAATACAGTGTCAATGGTTATAAATCCTTTATCTTAATGGGACCGTTTACCTTAAAATGATGTATATTTATTGTTATCGCTGAAATCCTTAACTAGGCAGGCTGGTACATGTAGTAGAATTTGTTGCCAAATCATCATGATATCTCTGCAGGAGTACTCATGAAAATATTTATAGAATTAAAGGGACAGAGCAAATATAAAAGTATAATCTGGGCCCAGTTGTTAAAAAGGTGATTTATAGCTTAATTAGTTATTAGCACAAATTTTAATTTGTGTGTAACTTAAAAAACAAAACTATTGAATTAGTTACAACTTTCCAGATATCAAATATTCAGTAGAATGAATTCACTTGCTAAATTTTGAGATTTTACTTTACCTTGAATATTGACGAAGTTATCAAAGGTTAAAAAATTGTCGTTAAACACTGATTATAGCTAACCACCTTTTGAACAACTGGGCCCTGATGTAAGTTTTAAGTTTCAACAATAATGAACATTTGACTGGATTGTTTCATAACTGCTTTCCTTAGACATGTGATATGTAGATGCTATTCATCCAATCTTTTTTCAGGCATTCAAGAAACACTTTCCCATAGTTTGTATTTACAGACATTTTCTAGTTTTTACTAAATTTCATTTTCAACATTTCTACATTAATTGAACATGTACGTAGCTAACTTTGTGAAATGTGATACCTCGTAGAGTTTCACACCTATTTGCAGATAATTTTTTTGAAATAATGAAATTTTATCTTGGTATATTAAAATCATGGTAATATCTGGTAAACTATTTTGTCCATGAAGGGAGTTGAAATTAAAAATTTAAGTATTATTATTCATGTCTTTTCAGAGTAAATGAAAGCTGAAATGAGAGGGAAAGACAAACTCATATCTACGTGTACTGGAGAGAAACATTCAATCATATTTACGAAATCTCAGTCCCTATATGTGCAGTCTCGGCCATGGAGGAAACTGTCAATATGTCAGAACAACAGGTCGAAATATTTTGATGACATGATTGTGTTGTCAGATGTCACCATTTTTGTGTCAATTATTCACCAAATTGTATCTATTTTCTGGAAATGTCATTAATTCCTGTGAGTTTATGTCAATGATCTTCACCCAGTCAATATTTGTTTACGATGATTATGTCAATATTTGTTTACGATGATTATGTCAACATTTGTTTATGTGATTATGTCAACATTTGTTTATGATAATTGTATCAACATTTGTTTATGGTAACTGTGTCAACATTTGGTCACATATTATATTGACATTTGAATGTTGACAAAAAAATGTTTTATATATTCAATTAATATATCATTGTGTTGACATTGTGTTGACTTTTCACAATCTATACAAATATTTTGTAATGCTAAAGTAAAACCAACATGTAACTGCCTGAAGTAATTAAGTGTCTTGGTGTCAATGTTGTAAGTGTCAACATCTTGTTGACAGTATTAAGTTGACCTTTTGTGACATTTAATCATGTTTGAAGGATGTCAATTGAATTTTGAACCAGCACAGCTAGGATTGTGCATGGTCAGGTAATGAACCACAGATCAAATAAGTCTGCATATACTTTTCAGCAATTTTTGCTGAATTAATGAAGAGCTTGTTGCCAACATTATTCTCTTGGAAACAAGATTATAAAATGTAGACGTAGTTCTTTTTGAAGAATTCAATCTTTTCATTATAAATATATATATGTGAACATTTTGATAATGTTGTGATTTTAACAGAAGTTGACATTAAATACCCTCACATGAGGGAAACTGATGTTGACATTAAATACATTAACATGAGGGAAACTTGTTAACAGAAGTTGACATTAAATACATTAACATGAGGGAAACTTGTTAACAAATGTTGACATTAAATACCCTCACATGAGGGAAATTGATGTTGACATTAAATACCCTCACATGAGAGAAATTTGTTAACAGATGTTTACATGTCATCATTTTGTCATCATTCCTTTCCACACATTGTGTTTATTCCTCGTCTGTTCACATCAATTTGTCCACAAATCATTCTCGGCATTGTGTCATCATGATATTTATTACAATGTGAGGGTACACACTGAGTTATGTCAACGTAATTTCACACGGTCAGATAATTGTATGAATGAATGATGATATCTACTTTAATTTCATCTTGTCAACATTGTAATTATCAATATAAACAATTATATATGTAGCTGGAAATACTGTTTATTTGGTATTTCTCAGGGGGTTTGAGTCTCAAAATCATTGTTCATGCGGTTAAAAAAAGGCACAGAGGACTACACCTCCAGTTTGAGTCTGTCACAAATTATAAACTCAGATTACGGACAGATTCACAAATTATAAACTCAGATTACAGACAGATTCACAAATTATAAACTCAGATTACAGACAGATTCACAAATTCATTAAAAGATCATAAAAAAAATGTAGGGATATGCTCATTAACAACAGAAAATATTGTAAAACTGACGCTACGGTTCAATTCCAATACTCTCATTGTTAAAATCAGAAAATTTTGTTAAAAACCCATACAACCCTCGAGTAACAGTTTTTTAACATACGGTACTGGAAATATCTAATTCAGTTTCTAAATTTGACTGAATAGAAGCGAAAGATGTTTCCGTAATCCGAATTTGTTCATTGCAATTTTTGGTATTTGACAGACATTGCATATTGAGAAATTTTTTAGAGTGTTATAATCTTTGTCATCATAACACACAAATCTTTAAACACTTGGTAATTTAAGCAGAGGCATCGATCTTTAGTAGATGCAGTGTTATATGCATCAAAACTGGGTCAACCTGACCTTTGTTTGACCTCTATTGCGTAAAGAACTCGCCCTGAAGCAGAAGGTTCATATTTATTGTATTTTACTGCAAGGAAGCTCAGGGGCTTCTCTTAAAATTCAGTCAATGGGAGGGCTGGGTTTATTACAATTACTACACCCTATTTATACATATACTCGGATTACAGGGTTGTTGTAAATGGAAAGACGTCAGAAGCTCATTAATAGATAAGTCGGTTTTCCTTAATTGACACGCATTCCCTGGTTAAAATGAACAAATTTTGGCTACCGGGTATATTTTGGTACCCAGCAGCTTCAAACACGATGTTTCCATACTTTTTGTAAAGAGGAAAAAATCTGAAGTATTTTAGAAATTTAAATTGACAATCACACAAAACACCAAAATTCAACAAAGTTGCCTGGTTTAAACATTAGTGTAAGTGTTGAAAATCTTTTTAATGTAACAAAAATCAATTTTGGGAGTACCGAAATGTCTTGTAAAAAAGTGCTGTAAGCCAAATTAACTATGGGGTACACTTGAAATAATCTTACCCCTTTTTCCTAACCGGCTTTCGATATCAACTAACAAGTAAGACATTGGCAACAGGTTGAAATTGTGCTTCATTTAGGATATACCTGTTACTTGTCATTATTTTATTTTTTGTTGTTAATTTTCAACTTATGAAAGGTTTTTATTATTGAAAAACTTGGCAATTTGGAATATATATCATTCTTAAAAGTTTAAGATTTTCTTATTCCAGATGTTAGCTAAATTACAGAGATACAGCAGCAATTTATTGGAAATCAGATAAACCTTTATAAGTTCTACAGATAAACCTTTATAAGTTCTACAGATAAACCTTTACAAGTAATACTGATTAATCTACATAAGTTCTACAGAAAACCTTCATAAGTAATACTGATAAATCTACATAAGTTCTACAGATAAACCTACATAAGTACTACAGATAAATCTACATAAGTACTACAGATAAACCTACATAAGTTCTACAGATAAACCTACATAAGTACTACAGATAAACCTACATAAGTACTACAGATAAACCTACATAAGTACATAAACCTTTCATAAGTATTACAGATAAACCTACAAAAGTGCTACAGATAAACCTACATAAGTACTACAGAATCTTTAGGAAACAAGATAAACCTAAATAAGTAATACCAGATAAACAGTATTACATAAAATATATATATTATAAATATGTATGTATGTAGCATATCTATAGAGGAGTGTACAATATGATGCCAGCTACCGAAGCCAGGACATGGGGTAGATTGGCTGTACAAGTTCGGAGAATTCAAACGGGTTACCAACAAAAGACGATGAACATCAGTGAGTGAAAACAATGTTTCATCGATCCGACAATGTTACCAGCTAGTGTTGTAAATCTGGCAACTATTAAGCATCTTAACTACTCTGAGCAAATTGATCCTTGTCTTACAAACTCTTTATCTCTAATCACAATTACAGCATCTAACCCAAAATGAAAATTTAGATCTGTTTTTGTGAAATTTTTGTTTTTGATAGTTGCATCGGAACTAAATGGAGAAAATTGATCTGTGTCTTGCAAACTCTTGTCTCATGTGATATCATTTTATTGAAAGGATAATCGTTATTCTTCACACCCTTGTGTCTGTTTCAAACATCTGAACAACATTGAATAGGCATAACTTGTATCTTCATATTTTGAAGAAGAGATCAAAAGAATTCCTTTTCTAGCTTTTTTAAATTTTTCTCAAACCATGATCATCAAAAAATCCAGAAATGATAAGAATCAGGGACTACAGTATATACAAACTGATTACATTAAGATCCACATTCTTTATTACATTAAATATTATGTATGTGAGCAAGATTTGAATATATATACAAATTCTCTGAATGATGTTGAACTCTAAACATTTTTATTTGTGAAATCACAAATTTTGACTGTTAACAAAACCAAAATTATTATTTCTTTTTCGTTAAGATTATTGATGGAAAAAAAAGTTTCTGCAAAGATGCATTCAACTTGTCATAGTTTGTACAGTTTTTTAAAAGTTTGACATAATTGTCTTTAATGATATCACGGTATTAAATTAGAATATCTAAGTCGGTGATGATATTCATTTTTTGAATTTCAAAAATGTCTTCACCGACATGCTTTAAAGTTCTTCAAACTCTCAGAGACGCTTTAAAAATATCCAGATGGGTCAAAAAAACGTTTGTTGTAAAGGAGTCGTCGGCATGCTTTTATATATCGAGATCATAGAAATGCTTTTGTACATTCGTTGTAATAAATTAAAATCATGGTCACCTGTATGCTTTGGACGAAAAATCATGATCATTTAAATGCTTTTTGTGTTTTGAGGTTGAAATGTTCTTTGTCATGTAGTGAGAATGTCATACGAGATGAATAAATGTTAAGTTGATGCCACATTAAGAATTTATTTCATCTGAATTGTGTCAATGGCCTTTTTCAAGCATGTACATGTATGTATATCATATTTGTCTTAAGATTTTTCAATGGTGTGACAAAGTGAATTTCGCTGTGTGTTTCAGTGAAGTTCCCTATACAACAGACTGATTTCTGCAATTTGAAATTGCAGTTATTTGGTTTTGTTTTGATAGATAAAGTAAGAACTGATTTTTACAGAGAAAACAACTTTGTTAATTCAAGGGAAAATGACATCCAATGTCCGCTAGCGACTGTTCAGTGAAGTTCTAGATCTGCATATCTTAGTTAATCGATTCCTAAACGGAATTCACTAGTCCGGCCGTAAGTGTTATCGAAATTCAAAAGTAGAGGTGACCAGACAACATCAAATGGGGCTTGTAGACAAATTTAATCCAGTTTACATGTTTTGGCCCATTAGGTAGACCGTCATCTAGTGGGCCGTCATCAGAACAACATACAATTTTCAAAAGATACCTAAAGTACAAAATTTTGTTAACTGTTTTCAAATTTTTCAGTAATACTTTATATTTTTATGTGAAAAATTTCTGTTTCTGTTATTTTTTTGATTTCCACTGATATGATTGAATCTCATAAAAAAAACTCATAAAAAAACCAAATTCTTTCGTAATTTTTCTGTCTCTTCAAATAAGGATTGTTTTAAATAATCTGATTATAATTGTAATATACTAGGCTTATATGAATTTGATTCTCAAAATCGCATGCATATACTACTGTACAACACAAAAAAAATCCAAGAAAATATTAGTCAGGATTTTTCTCTAGGAAACCTTTTGCATTGTTTTAAAGTTTCTACAATCTTGTTCATACTAAACAATCTTAACTTAATTCTTGCTATAAGACAATAAATTCATGGGAAAACATTTGCCAATTTTTTTGAAGACCACAAATTATTAGAATTCTCTGAATCACAAATGTTAAAAGTATAACTATCTTGTTAAATAAGTATGTTGTGAAGCTTAATTAATTTTTTGTTTATCGATATCACCGGTAATTGCGTTGTTTTATCTTTATATGGGAAATTAACTGTCCGATAAATATATATGATTTTCTTTAAATTCGTTTAAAACTATAAGTATCAGTGTGTAACATGATGACATTTTGGTTTTTGAAAAGAGAACAAATGAAATTGGCTTGATCAACTTCTAGTTTGGGACCAAAGTCATTGCTTGAATTATAAAAGAATGTATCATTTCATGTTACAACACTGTTCACTCAAATTTCTATCATCATCATCATTATCATCATCAACATGACCACCATCATCAGAAATCTATTCAAACAGATTTAGAACTAAAAAAAAAAAGTAAAAAAAAAAAATAGCCCCATCATTATTTTCAGCTCGCCTAGCCCGAAGGGTCTAGTGAGTTTATGACAAGGCACAACGTCTGTCGTTCGCCCAGTTTCAACTCTTTACTTTAAACAACTTCTTCTGAATAACCAAGAGGCCAAGGGTGCTGATATTTGGCCAGTAGAATGTTGGGATGAATAACTACCAAGTTTTTTCTAATGAATGACCTTGACAAATTTCAAGGTCATAGGGGTCAAATATGTTTAAAACATTAAACAAGTTCTTCGGAATCCCCAAAAGGTCAAGGGTGATGATATTCGGTCAGTTACATGCTGGGATAAAGTGTTACCAAGTTTGTTCATAAGATTGACCTTGAATTATATTCAAATATGTTAAAACTAGAAACAGCTCCTGATGAATGACGAAAATGCATAGGTTGGTGAAATTTGGTCAGTAGCATGCTCAGAAAAAGAGCTACCAAGTTTGTTTATGGGAATGACCTTGACACACTTTTAAGGTCACATTTTGTAAAATGTGTCTTAACCTTCAAATGACCTCATCTCAATAAAAAAAAAATGCATATTTCGGTGATATTACTAGGCAAGTAACATGTTTGGATGAAGGGCTATAAAGTTTGTTCAACTTAAAGTTCTTTTTTGGCTTTCAAGGTCCCAGGGGTCAAATTTGTTATAAGTCTTTTAACAGGATATTTTGAACGACTTAGAGTCATAGATACTGATCTTTTGCCTGTAGCTTTATTTTAGTCCATTTTTAAGGTCACAAGTGCGAGATTAATACCAGGTGAGCAATGCAGGCCCATTGGGCCTCTTGTTATTTATTTTTTCATAAATATTGAAGTCCTAGCAGAATGCCAGTTCAAACATGGATATTTCTTTATTAATATTTACAAATATCTGTCGACATTGCAGAAGTGTACATAGACATGTAAAAGTGTATTTATTGTGTTTTTGAATAGGTGCTTGTTAAGTTTCCTGCCATGAAAAGTATCTGGTAATTTTATTATTTGATGCTTGAAATTTATAGATAGTGAACTTGTGTAGTTTTGTAGAAATACGGAATACACACCCAAACTAGTCACAGAAGCACTTTGTTATAAATCTTCATCACAGCTGGTACATGCATAAACCCGTTCACCCCTTAAATCACATTTGAACCTTGCCAAATCAAAGACTGGGCAAGTACAGTTTAAATATGTAGGGGTGAATAAGTTGAATGCATAAATATTTCTTGTTTTTTTTTGTCATTGTGATATACATTAATAAAAAAAAAAATCATGAAAAAAATTGTAATATTAATAAGATGTTTTGTAAAGATAAGTACTTTTTAAACAATTTTTGTAACATCACCAAATTAAGAATTAGGCAACTAATTGATTTTTTTTTTTTTGTTCACCACAAAAAATGAAGATAATATGAACATTTTCCTTCTGAAAAAATATTGTATGTTCCTTTATGATAAGCCAGGTATTTCCCCATGTTGGTTTTTCTCTCTAAATCATAACTGCAATATTTAAAAGTATAATTATAATTAAGGAAAATATGTTTCACACATAATTTCTGTTTGAGATGTTTTTTATTGCTATTTAAACAGGTACTACCATTATTTTGACAGTTTTAACTTTATTGTATTCTAATTTTTTTTGTTAGCAAAATGATATTATAGATTATAAGTGCTGAAATATTTATTTATTG